TTTGGCCCTGTGTGACTCTCTCGTTTCCGGGAGTTTTGGCATCCTCGGCTGGGATGACGCCCCGCTGCTCGTTACGAAACCTTCCTGGCCATCTCCTGATCTTTTAAAAACCGGTGGATTAAGCGCCATTAGAACCATGACAAGAAAAAGATTTGAAAATAATCCTGTGGTAAATTATATGGGAGGTTCTGAAAAATTAGGGAACCCTAATCTAGTACCCTACATGGATCCTTATGATAAGGACCCCAAAATAGGTACCACTAATTGTTCGGAAACTCCCATATCACAAGTAAAACAGCTGAAGCTGAGACCCCGGTCTCTCTTGAGATTCCCTTCGTGGCACCTTCCCACTCCTCCAAGCTCACAGCGAGGGCCGTTCTTCCTCGATGTCTGGCCCTGACAGTGCTTGGGATCGTTCTGGTTGCTTCCAAATGTGTCGCCCAGAAAGACCGCTCAACTCAAAAACTCCAAGACACTTACAGGTGGGCAATTACATTATCAGCAAAGGGTGCTATCATGGAAGTCATTATGGAAGTACTATGGACTACGACCTGTCATGGGCTTCTCTAAACCCTGTGGCCCTTACGCCCCCAGGCTCAATCCCCCGAGCCCTCGAGCTGTATAACTCCCTTACATCCTAAGCCTACACCCACAGAGCCCTTGAGTCCTAAGCCCTTGAACCCTCAAGCCATGCGATCCAAAACTTGAGTCCTTACCCCCTATAAATCCTTAAGGCCTAGGGCTGTGTCCCCTAAAGCCGTTCAGCTTCCACCCTAAGCCCTACAAAGACCTACCTTTTAAGGAACTATATCTAGAAACCATAATAAGGAATCCCAAAAGAGCAGGTCTTTGCGGCTACGGGTACGCCTAACCCTCTACTTGGAAGGTTATGGGTAGTTCTAAGTAGAGTTACAACCAGGAGAACGATGAAGTAGCCCCTTCGTTCGGGTTGCGGGTAAGTATGGTTTAGGGATCGTCGCCTTAAGTTTTGGGATAAATACAGGGGGCTTACAGATTCTTGGGTGACCTCCTGCATAGCTGAGAGAGAGCCACTAGGAACGGTGAGAAGGTACATGCCAGTACACTCTTTACGGATTAAGCTTTAAGGCCTAGGCTGCTTAAGCTATTGGGGCTTGGGGTTGAGGGGATTTAGGGTGCAGGTCTAGCGTATCTGAAACATAAAGAGCTGGCTCAGCTCTTGCGGTCTGAATAGCTGTTAATCTAAACCTTTCACCCTTAATGCAAGTTTAGGTTTTAGGGTTCAGGGTTTAGGGTTCAGGTGTGCAGCTGGGCTCTGAGTGTTAGCCGGCGAGTCCGCCCACACACTGAAGCTCAAATTCCAAACGTCAGCGAACCCATCAACGGGAACTATCTCCGCAACCACTACAATCACTACACTACAAGATCTCGTTTCAGGAAATGCCACGGGACGTCTTTCAAAGCATGCAAGTGAAGGAATCATTACGCTAGGGATCCCATGATGCAGGGCTTTGGACAAGCCTGTTGCCCTCCAAGGTCCGACGATGTATTACACATGTTTCCAGGATTCCTGTTTTCGCTCGTGCTCAAACACCTGTTGAAAACATTGTTTTGGGGATTAAGGGTTAAGCATTTATGTTCAGGGTTTAGGGTTTGAGATGGCTTGTGGGTGTAAAGTTTGGGTTGTCCTTGAGTGTGAACGAGTCTGGTTTTCAAGCATTGTTCACTGCACAGGACAGCACACTAGTTGCGAGAACAATAACATAAAACAAAAGCACAAACCCCGAAGAATTTGTTGTTTTTGGTTGTTGGTGGTGTTGTGGTGTTCTTGCTGGTGTTCTTGCTGGTGTGCTTGCTGTTTTTGGATATTTTGGTTTTGGGCTCTACTGCCCATATGTGCCCACCCCTAAGTCCTAAACCCTATTCGTTGGCTTCCCGCACAGGGCTGCTTGCTCACAGGGGGTCCATGTGAGGATTTCCGTTTGCCTCCCAACCTTTCTGCTGCTGAGAAGGGTTTCTGCGCTCACACTCGGACGATCCACGCGAGGCATATGGTTCGGAGTCTGCTGAGTGAGACAAACCTAGAGGTAGCGTAAAATCATCCCCTACATACCGAGGAGGGTTTGGGTTGAGGACATAGCTAGCCAGTGTGTGGAAAATCTTTTCAACTCGAAAGTTTAGCCAGTGCAAGCAGGAGGTTGGACAATCTCCGAATACCAATTTTTCATGCAAGCACTAGTTGGTAGCCATTTAGAAACATTGTCCAAGATTCTGAGACGAGTCTGGTTGTTGCTCGCAGCTTCCCCCTCCCCAGAAGAAATCAGGTGCGTTAATCATAGGACTTCCTTCATGATTTCCCCTGCCTCAAACCCTGCGACCCTCATTTTCCCATTGAGCTTTGGGCCCGTTGGAAGCCCAAGAATAAAATCGGCTGTTAAGTTTATCTCTATCAGACTCCCCCAATGCCCACAACCCTCCCAAAATTCAGAAACCGTTCAGCCCTAAAGGGGCCCAGCTGATTGCTGTGATCCTTTCAACACTAAACCCAGCCCCACAAGCCTTATGCGCCGTTCAAGCCCTCAACCGTCACACACCCTGAACCCTACATCCCTAAACCCGAGGCCCTTAGCCTACGCTGTGAATCCCTAAACCTCATAGAAACGAGAAATAGAAAGCTACCTAGAACCCACTTTAAACCATGTGCAAATTCACCTGGCCTGGATGCCAAACGACCCGATGAAAAGCGCGGCCGGGGCCCCCATCTTAGGACTACGAAGGCCTGGGCAGGGCGCGGGGGCGAGTTGGGGCGCAAGGCCTTGGACCTTAGGGTGCAAGTCCTACATCGTAAACCCTTAAACCCCCAAACCCTCTCTCTCTCCCAAGCTAAACCCTAAACCCCCAAACCCTAAACCCCTGAACCCTAAACCCCTAAACCCCTTTTTACTAAACCCCTAAACCTTAAACCATCCTAAGCCATCCTAACCCCCAAACCCCTAAACCCTAAACCCCTAAACCCTAAACCCCCAAACCCTAAACCCCCAAACCCTAAACCCCTAAACCCTCAGGAGTAAGGTTTGCCAGTTTGGTGCTTTGGGCTTGGCGTAAAGAACTTCGGCCTGGGTTTGGAGCTTACCTGTGGCACCAAAAAGACTCTAAAAAAGGAGATCTTTTCGGCTACAGGTATGGCTTAGAAGGGACCCCCACCCTGTAATAGTGACTATAACTATAAGGATTATATTAGGGCCTTATTATATTCCTATTCTACCACTATTACAGGGTGGGGGCCCCTTCTAAGGTATGGCCTAAGATGTTGATTTGCGGCGCGATTTGGGTTTTACTTTGGATTTAAGGGTTAGGGTTTGCAGGGCCAAATAGTTCAAGCCTAATGGCTTCGGTCTTTTTGTTTCAAACTAAGTCTGACTCTCATTTGGGGCAAGCCGAGGCAGGCTGTGGGTGGCTTTGGGGCTTTTTACTCTATGATTTGGCGACTGATCTAAAGAAACCGCTGGTCTTTATTAGGGCTCTCATCAATATTTTGTTATTGGGGGCCCCGGGGATGATTGGAGGTTCTTGCTGGGTTTGGAGCTCGGGTTAAGTTTCGACCGCCTAGTATAGGCAGTTGCTTCGGGCGTCCCCTGAGTTGGTAGGCTTCATACGCTCTTGCTTTCTGGCGCATTTGAGAACGAAACTTCTCAAGTCACTTGGTGCTTACAGCACTAGCGTGAGGATGCGAACTCGTGCAGGGTTTAGTAGCCTAAAGGCCTCTCCACAGTACTGGTAGGGTTCTGGCCGACCCTCAAATCCTGGAACCTCTTGGAGTTTAGGGGGCTCTGAGGCACCGGTAGGGTTCGCAGTTTAGGCTTTGGGGCTTAGGGCTTCTGGACTGTGCCATCGATTCACTCTGCATTTTCCGGGGCCCAAGTTCGCCGGTTTAGGGTTTAAGGTTTAGAGTTTAGGGTTTCTGCTCGAAACTGAAAACGCACGAGCGACAGTCTAACACCATGCCCGTACCAAAAGCCGCTGACCCATGGTGGGAGTTAGGATTAGGGGGACCCTTGGGGATATAGACCCTCTCAAAATAAGGCCCCTTTTAGGGTTCAGAAGGGGTACCCTTTAAGGGGTCTCCCTAATAATACTACCTATATGTCCTGAAGCCCTGCCCCGAAGCCAAACTCGGTTCAAGCACTGTGCCGCCGTGCCACTGGCGTGCTGACAGAGAGCAGCACCGCACAAAAGCAACGCATGGCCAAGCTGGCTTCTAAATCAACTTAGAAGAGACATAAGAATACTGGCGCTATTCATTATAATACTGATATACTGTAGAGACCCTCGAACCAGGTTGATGATGATGAAGATGATCATAATACTACTAACAATAGTCATCATAATGATAGTAACAATATTCATCATAATGATAATACCCCAAACTTCAGCTCGGGGCTTCCAGAAGCAATGGCCGGATGGAGGCTTTCGAGTTGCTTTTAAGGCTTCGGGTTTAGGGTTTAGCTGCAGGCACTGGCTTTTGGGTGTTTTCACCCTCTCGGGGTAGCTGGGGTTCATGGCTCTAAGTTCCGGCGCGGCTTCACTGCCACCTTAGCTCCGGTTAGTAGGGAATAGAAGAATGGGGTACAATTATAACTATTATTACTACCATTCTTCCATTCCCTACTAACCAAAGGTAAGCCACGAGCCAAATCAAGCCCGCGTGTTGGAGACCCTGACCAAGAAAACCCTCAACCCTCGCCAGTAAGCTGAGCCCCACACCCTCACCAAAGGGGAAGGCCTACTGTAGGGCCTTTATTTTTTGCATAGGGTTTGGAAGCCAATTATGCTATAGTTATAATACGGAACCCCCCAAATAGTACAGGGGGGTAATTAGTAAGGCCCCTACATTATAGTACCCTTATAGTAACCCTCATAGACCCCTTCAAAGGAAAACCAAAATACTAACTCAAAACAATGTGGGATCCTGCTAAGTATTCAAATTTGAATTCCTTGTTGGGATTAAGTACTCATGACCATCATAAACCTCATAAAGATTACGGACATTAGTCTCATATGGCCCCGGTCTCCTCCATCCTGCAATCCTAAACCCCAACTCTAAACACCCGAAGATCCCGTCCCATTGCCTCCTTACCCTCCTCGCTGCCGTCGTTCGGCCGGGCACCCTCCACATGTCGGCCCACCTCTGCCTTCAGCTTGGTGTTTAGGGGTTTCGACGCTCACGCTCGCACGCAGCAGGCAAGGCTTTCAAAGGGGTTTGCGGGGTTTGGGGGACAAAGAATGTTGGGGGATCCAGTGGGATGCGGGTTGAAAGTTTCCCGCACGTGGTCAATGCCGGTATCTCTTGCCGACGCCAGAATCCCTAAACTCAGCGTAATGCCGGGGGCCTTATCGTTTGGAAGTGTTGAAGCCTCGACCACAAACCCCTGCCGCCAGGGGGCAGGAAAGTGAGCCCGTAGGCAGCCACCATCCTTGGATTCAAGGGCGAGGCTTTATGTGGACCCCTGCACGAGTGTATGCGTGCGTATGTACATATATAGATATACATATATACACACATAGAGAGAGGTAAGTACCTCTCATATATACATACATAAACATATACAGAAACATGCATACACATCCACAGATACACACATACACATACACATACACATGCACATACACATACATAAACATATACATATCCATACACATACATCTACATCTACATATGCAAATACATATGCATGTACACAGAGGCATGCACATATCCAAATGCACCATGCATATCCATATCTGTATCCATACGCATGCACACATGTGTGTAGGTCTACATACACTCACATGCACCTATGCAAGCACACAGACATGTGCATGATGTGCCGAGCTCGAGTCCTTCCCTCGAGGGATGTGGGAGTCTCTACGAGGGCTAGGTCCCTTAGGTTGAGCGCTGCCAGCAAAAAGGAGGGACTTCAGATACGATGTATGCAAAAGCCTGTAAGGCCCACTGACCACAGAAAAAGCCCCGAAACCCCAAAACCGTGAAGCCCCAAAAAATCTTACACAGGTCCTACACCTTAACGCCCCCCTACAGCAGCCCTGAACCCTAAAGTCCTGAAGCCCTCACCCTAAAGCTCCAAACCCTACAACCCTTTGCCCTCAAGCCCTGAACCCTAACACACTACAACCCAAAGAAACAACCCGACCGCTGGAACGAGGCCCCACCTCTTCGCGCCAGCCGTCGTTGGCATAGTACACCGCAGTGAGCCGCCGGCGCACGTCGTGGTTTGGCAATGCATCCTGGGAAGATGTAGTGCAAGGGCTGCAGAATAGATCGATGGATTGGATTTTGGGTTTTGGGGTTAGGGTTTCTATCCCCCCTTGGAGCCATAATAAGAATAATATGTTCAATATTCTCTTGGGTTTTATATGAACAAAAATAAGAAAAACAATTCCTAAGGCGACCATAGGTTTAAGTTGAGGGTGTAGGGTTTCGGATCGATTCCTGGGGATTGCTTGGCCGCTGACTTGACTGATGTGTGCTCTATGGTGCTCTGACCCAGGCTACTAAAGGGCCTCATTAATGAATGGAATAGGGTTCCGTACATTATACGATAAATAGAATAAGAATAAGGAACCCCCGCAAGAGTATAGGGAATTATTTCTCGCTCTCTCTCTCTCTCTCTCTCTCTCTCTCTCTCTCTGTCTCTCTCTGTCTCTCTGCCATTAGGCCCCTAAATTACATCCCCAAAGCCGCGAATACAAAGGCTTTTTGCTCACAAGGTCGTGGCCTTGCGAATGTGTCTTGGGACTGCCACAATCACAACGTTGCCATCTCGATCGCGAAAACAAAATCTGCCAGATTCTGATAGGATGCCTAAGAGACTGCAAGGCACGTTCTGACATGCTCCCATCATCCCTGCCAGCTTCCGGCAGAAACAAAAATTGCTTTGCCCATGTAAGGTCTTTTTCAGGACCTGGCCAAAAAAACACACCCCTCTGTTCGTGCACAACCCCTGTGGGTAATTATGATCTCTCGCTACACGGCTGCTTAAATCTGGAAAAAGTCTGATGCGCATTGCACATCCATTTTTGCACTAATTTGGCTAGCAGCTTGGTGGGCTGAACCACTTCGAAGCAGCCAGGTGTTGTACTCCGGCAAGGTACCTTGACCTTGCCGTACAAGGCTCAACTAGTTCCTTTCATGCGTCAGCCAATTCTGTGCTCACTTCGTCCTTTGAGGGGCACAGACATCATGGCAAACATTGGCAATCGCGGACCACCACTTCCCAGTCAGGGGCACAGACTTTCCAGCCACAGAATTCGCAGGAGCCGCGCCAAAAGGAACCGAAGAATGGTGAAGGAAAATGCGCACCTTGCCATCGCTGCAGCGAGTATACCCGAAAGTGTACTCGACGGTGGACACGCTGCCCGTGGTGGCACAAGTGAAGTCATAGGTGCCCATGGCAATTCCGACGCCACCCTTCAGCTGCACCTGGTGGTTCTTGTACACGCAAGAAGCCCAGCCCTTGCCACCGTTGATTGCGAAACCGCCGTCCTCCGTGTAGCCACCCGAAACAGCGTTGCCACCCACGAAGTAGGACATGGCTTCCTCGGCGGTGGGGCGGAATCTGTACTCTGCAGCCTTGGTGGGCTTGAACATCACATCGCAGTGGCCGTAGGCATACAGCTCGCCAGCGGCTGCAGCAGCAGCCTTGACGAAGTCCCCGCCTTCCTTCTGGATCTTTGAGATTTTGGAAATCGCGGCCGCCCACTTAGCTTGCACGTCCAGAACCTCATCCTCCCGAACAGGTGCGGACTTGGTGGCGGGAGCCGCGGCAAAAGGAACCGAAGAATGGTGAAGGAAGATGCGCACCTTGCCATCGCTGCAGCGAGTATACCCGAAAGTGTACTCGACGGTGGACACGCTGCCAGTGGTGGCACAAGTGAAGTCATAGGTGCCCATGGCAAGGCCGACGCCACCCTTCAGGCTCACCTGGTGGTTGTTGTACACGCAAGATGCCCAGCCCTTGCCACCGTTGATGGCGAAACCGCCGTCCTCCTTGTAGCCACCCGAAACAGCGTTGCCACCCACGAAGTAGGACATGGCCTCCTCGGCGGTGGGGCGGAACCTGTACTCTGCAGCCTTGGTGGGCTTGAACATCACGTTCGAATGGCCGTAGGCGTACAGCTCGCCAGCGGCTGCAGCAGCAGCCTTGATGAAGTCCCCGCCTTCCTTGTGGATCTTAGAAATATTGGCAATCGCGGCCGCCCACTTGGTCTGGACCTCGATGACCTCGGCTCCAGTCACAGGTGCAGACATTCCAACCAAAGACTTCGGAGGAGCCGAAGCAAAAGGAACCGAAGAATGGTGAAGGAAGATGCGCACCTTGCCATCGCTGCAGCGACTATACCCGAAAGTGTACTCGACAGTGGACACGCTCCCAGTGGTGGCACAAGTGAAGTCATAGGTGCCCATGGCAAGGCCGACGCCACCCTTCAGGCTCACCTGGTGGTTGTTGTACACGCAAGATGCCCAGCCCTTGCCACCGTTGATGGCGAAACCGCCGTCCTCCTTGTAGCCACCCGACACAGCATTGCCACCCACGAAGTAGGACATGGCCTCCTCGGCGGTGGGGCGGAATCTGTACTCTGCAGCCTTGGTGGGCTTGAACATCACATCGGAGTGGCCGTAGGCGTACAGCTCGCCAGCAGCTGCAGCAGCAGCCTTGATGAAGTCCCCGCCGGTCTTGTGGATCTTTGAGATATTGGCAATCGCGGCCGCCCACTTGGTCTGGACCTCGATGACCTCGGCTCCAGTCACAGGTGCAGACACGTCAGCCACCGAATTCGCAGGAGCCGCGGCAAAAGGAACCGAAGAATGGTGAAGGAAGATGCGCACCTTGCCATCGCTGCAGCGACTATACCCGAAAGTGTACTCGACAGTGGAGACGCTCCCAGTGGTGGCACAAGTGAAGTCATAGGTGCCCATGGCAAGGCCGACGCCACCCTTCAGGCTCACCTTGTGGTTCTTGTACACGCAAGAAGCCCAGCCCTTGCCACCGTTGATTGCGAAACCGCCGTCCTCCTTGTAGCCACCCGAAACAGCATTGCCACCCACGAAGTAGGACATGGCCTCCTCGGCGGTGGGGCGGAATCTGTACTCTGCAGCCTTGGTGGGCTTGAACATCACATCGCAGTGGCCGTAGGCATACAGCTCGCCAGCGGCTTCGGCAGCAGCCTTGATGAAGTCCCCGCCTTCCTGGTAGACCTTTGAGATTTTGGAAATCGCGGCCGCCCACTTTTTTTGCACGTCCAAAACCTCATCCTCCCGAACAGGTGCAGACTTGGTGGCAGGAGCTGCGGCAAAAGGAACCGAAGAATGGTGAAGGAAAATGCGCACCTTGCCATCGCTGCAGCGAGTATACCCGAAAGTGTACTCGACGGTGGACACGCTGCCAGTGGTGGCACAAGTGAAGTCATAGGTGCCCATGGCAAGGCCGACGCCACCCTTCAGGCTCACCTGGTGGTTGTTGTACACGCAAGAAGCCCAGCCCTTGCCACCGTTGATTGCGAAACCGCCGTCCTCCTTGTAGCCACCCGAAACAGCGTTGCCACCCACGAAGTAGGACATGGCCTCCTCGGCGGTGGGGCGGAATCTGTACTCTGCAGCCTTGGTGGGCTTGAACATCACGTTCGAATGGCCGTAGGCGTACAGCTCGCCAGCGGCTGCAGCAGCAGCCTTGATGAAGTCCCCGCCTTCCTTGTGGATCTTAGAAATATTGGCAATCGCGGCCGCCCACTTGGCCTGGACCTCGATGACCTCGGCTCCAGTCACAGGTGCAGACATTCCAACCAAAGACTTCGGAGGAGCCGAAGCAAAAGGAACCGAAGAATGGTGAAGGAAGATGCGCACCTTGCCATCGCTGCAGCGAGTATACCCGAAAGTGTACTCGACAGTGGACACGCTCCCAGTGGTGGCACAAGTGAAGTCATAGGTGCCCATGGCAAGGCCGACGCCACCCTTCAGGCTCACCTGGTGGTTGTTGTACACGCAAGATGCCCAGCCCTTGCCACCGTTGATGGCGAAACCGCCGTCCTCCTTGTAGCCACCCGACACAGCATTGCCACCCACGAAGTAGGACATGGCCTCCTCGGCGGTGGGGCGGAATCTGTACTCTGCAGCCTTGGTGGGCTTGAACATCACATCGGAGTGGCCGTAGGCGTACAGCTCGCCAGCAGCTGCAGCAGCAGCCTTGATGAAGTCCCCGCCGGTCTTGTGGATCTTTGAGATATTGGCAATCGCGGCCGCCCACTTGGTCTGGACCTCGATGACGTCGGCGACAGTCACAGGAGCGGAAGCCATCTCGAAAGCACTGGACCGTCGGGCAGGGAGTCAAATTGAAGCGAAGACCAGATCACTTGAGCCAGCAGACACCATATTGCCCGTCCGGATGCGCGTCATGTTACCTGGCGATGATGATGATGATGATGATGATGATGATGACGTTGATGACGTTGATGACGATGATGACGTTGATGATGATGATGATGACGTTGATGACAATGATGACAAGAAGAAGGAGGAAGTGGCTGGGGATGACGGTGAGCTGATGATGGAAACCATGGTGGCGATGAGAACGATGACACGGACCGGGGTGAACAAAGTCGTGATGGACGTGGTTGCTACGCTGCTGACGACCACCGGGGTCTCGCTGCCGGTGCTGACAGCTGCAGCTGCTGCTGGTGCTGCGGTGCTGCTGGTAGTGGTGATGACTCAGAAGCCTTATTGGATCAATCCAAAACTAGCGCCAACACGGCTGGTAGGTCAGCATGCAGTTCTGCACTCACCTGTTGCTGAGCTCTCAGCAGATCGGGCATCCGTAGCGAAGAAGAAGTGTGCATGTGGCTATCGCGGCAGGTACATGTCTCCGCTCTTCCACTCTCTCACGCGCTCTCGTTGCTTGCGCGTCGCTGGATGAACTACCAAGTTTCTACACTCCCAAACACCTAAAACCCGAAACTCCTAAAAGTGGAGCCGCTAGACCGCTGATTTATCTCCTTGCCTAGACCTCAAAATTTCTAAACTCCCAAAACCCCTCAACTCAACTCTGCAAAACTCCTGAACCCTAAACCCTCGACCCTAGTTTATCCAGAACCGCTAGACTTGCACGCCGGTGTGCTCGATGTCTGGCGTAGCGTGCCCCAGCGCCCGGATACCTCGAAGAACTTGGGTTCAGGGCTACGATGGAGGTTTAGGGCCCAAAGAGTGAAGGCGGGCTGGAGGATGGCGGGTTCCGGCATTTAAGGTTTAAGGGTTTAAGGGTTTGGGGCTTAGGGGTTCAGGGTTTAAGGGTTTGTTTTTTTTTTTTTAGACGACCCTTTTCCGTCTGGGTTTGGGGTTTAGGGGTTCAGGGTCTAGGGGTTTAGGGTTTAGGGTCTAGGGGTTTAGGGTTTAGGGTTTCAGGTCTTCAGGACTTGGGGTTTTGTTTTCTTTTACTTAGCAAGGGCGAAGCCTGCATTGGGGTTTCAGGATGTGAGCTTCGCCTAACCATTTTTATTGTTCTTGTTAGTGTTAGTACCCGTATCAATATAAGTATCAGTATCAGTAATAGTATAAGCATGAGTGTGAAGCATTGATGCGGCTGTTAGTATTTGTATAAGAACTCATATTGATTGGTATTTGGTATTTGTGTTCATAGTTGTATTGTACTCATACCAGTATTACCTCTGGTACTTTCATGGAGATTAGTCTTGGTATTCCTTAGTCTTGGTATTAGTGTTGGTATTGGTGTTCCTTGATCAAAAGTCGCACACCTCAGTGTCGATCCCTGAGAAGTACTCCCAAACCTGTCAACTCCGAAGGGAACCCAAGTATAGATTCGTACCTTTGAAGGGTGCCCGATAATAGAACCCTCTAGTACCCTTTAAGGGGACCCGATGACGGAACCCGATAGTCCCTTTAGGGGTTTCGACACGCACACGCGCACGAGGCAGGCACGGCTAAAGAAGGGGCTTACGCTCTCGCAACTCGGAAAGGGATTATGTGGGAGTTTCCGAAAACAGGGGACCCTAATATAGCACCTTAAATAGTAGGATCCTTACTATAAGGACCCCAAAATAGGGTACCCCTAATTTTCGGAAAGGGGTTTGAAAGTGCTGCCGCGTCACCGAGCCACCATGGTGCTCACTCGACGACAGCCGAAGCCAAAGGCCTGACAAAGGGTTCGGCGTATGACTTGAAAGCCCTGCCAGCTTGTCGAAAAGGGCATCTTGAATCCCAATATCGGGGCCTGAATAGTTAGAACAAGGTTTCGAGGGCCCTCTATACTATCATTATATATAAAGAGGAACCCCCAAAATAGTATAGGTAATCATGAAGGCCCGTATATGAAACCATCTTAATCCCTGACGATCTCAGCAATCTGGGGCTGCCTAACTACGAAAGCTTCAGTATGAAAACAAAAGCTTGCGAGGCACCTCGGGCAGGAGAAACGACTCTGGATGTGGGCTACCAGGCGGCGTACCGGCTTATGCAATCGAACGAACCTTGAATATTCTGAAAGGTGGTCGACTTGGAGGGTCGGGGGACTTAGTAACTGGTTATTTTAAGGACTTATAAGTACCATAACCCCAATTAGGGTCCCTTTTCGGGTACTTATACGTCTACTTACTACCTACTTACTAAGTCCCCCGACACCCTAAGCCCTAAACCCTAAACATTCTGAAAGTTGGTCTAACCTATCTAGAATCCTGAAGTTTCGGGCATTGCCTCAGAAAGACTGCAGATCACTTCGGCTGTAGTTCAGGAAGTCAAAGCGGTAGAGACTGTAGAGACTACATGCTCGAGGCCGAGGTATTCGCCTAAGGATTTTGGGAAGTGGAAGGATTTGGGGCGTCGAGATGGCCTCATCCAGCTCGCACCGCAGGGCCGCGATGGCCACAAGCAACACGTCCAACTCCTGATTGGCAGGGCTATGTGAGTTAAACTCTCGCAACTATCGTCGGTTGCCGACCCGAACACATGGACCTCGTCTGGCTTGCCCGAGTTGCGAGGGCTATATGAGTTAGGCTTTAAGGCTTAGGACTTGGTTTCTGTGCTTTTTCCTGCTCTGCTGCATTACTCTATGAGTGCTTTGCCTTCCTTCCGTTGCCAGGACAACCTGTGACACTCTATGAGCTTAGGAATTAGATCCCAACGATTTCTTGTTCCAGCATGCTGGAAACTTCTTCAGTAACACCCGGGGCGCCTCGCACCCACTCTGCAGCACCGCCCTGACTCTTGATTTCAGCTGGCATAACGGGACGCGACGCCGGTTTTGCATCCAGGCCTATAGCCACTCTACACCCTAAACCCTAAACCCTAAACCCTAAACCCCAGAACGACAGGACCCCAGAAACCGGACCCGAAACCCCAAACAGCTTTCGGGAGCTAATGAGCCGCTTTGGCCTTTGGGTGCTGCCTAGGCGATTTCTTACCTTTCACGTTAAAAATGGGAGTTTCCGAAAACAAGGGTACCTTATTTTGGGATCCTTATAATATAAGGATCCCACTATTTCGGGTACTATATTAGGGTCCCCTCTATTGTCGGAAACTCCCAAATGGGAAGGCTTCCTTCCACGATTTTTTGCGGCTTTTGCATTGGCTTGCACGGGATTGTGTAGGATTTACTTAAGGGTCGTTTATAGCCCCAGGTACCTAAAGCAACCTTTTCGGGGCCTTGGCCTTAGACCTTAAACCTGTCGCGACTACACCGGATAGTAGTGCACGCTACGAACCCAAGCATAAAGACTAGCACCGCAAAGAACACTCCAAGCGAGCTCGTGGCGCAGAGCTTTCGGTTACGTGGTCCCCCGACTTACTCGCTGCGATGCCTCTTCGCCCTCAGCAGCTGGATCACGTCATGATGCCCCTCCAAAGTTGCCTCCTCAAGCGCGGTCTTGCCGGAAGAGTCCGACAAGCCTGTGTCTGCACGGGCTTCCAGCAGCAAGCGAACAATTCCAGCATTGCCATCCTTTGCTGCGATCATCAGGGGTGTAATGCCCCGTTCGTTTCGCGGGTCTGTCTGGGCCCGCGCCTCCAGCAGTAGGCTCGCTACTTCCAAGTGGCCGTCGTGGCACGCGAGCAGCAGTGCCGTGGTTCCTTCAGTGTCAGCCAGCTCCTTGTTCGCACCTGCCTTCAAAAGCAAACCTGGGTTCTAGTTTGGGGGCCCCTAAAGTTATTCATGAATAGCCACCTCTATAGGAACCACAAACGGAAATCAAAAAGATTTCCCAAAGTGCCACCTAGAAACGCACCGTCTCTACGTAGCCTTCCTGGCATGCACACATCAAAGCGGTGCTTTGCCCGAAGTCAGCTCTGTCCAAGGCAGCCCGGACCTCCATCAGCAGCCGCACAATCTCCAAATGGCCCTGGTAGCCTGGGATTTCAGTTAGATCCCATGTCTATAGTAACTAATATGCCTGGGATTGAAGCTACCAGAATTGGAACCTATAGTAACTAATATATACTCCTGGGGTTTAGTTAGCAGAATTGGGATCTATAGTAAGTAACTAAGATGGTTTCCTTGTTATGGTAATGACTTAAAACAAACAACAAGAATACCCCAAAATCCTGAAGCTCCCTGAGAACCATAACACCTTTTTTGCAACAGGCCTCGTTGTCCAGCAGCCCGGTCTACCCAAACACACACTCCCCCAACCATAACACCTCAACAAGAACCCAGTAGCAAGCGACCATCAAGACCGTCGCACCATCGTTTCGTGCCGAGTCCTTGTCGGCCCTCGCTTCCAGCAGCATCCGCACGATCTCCAAATGACCCTGGTAAGCCGCACCTAACGGGTTTGGGGTTTAGTGTTTAGGGTGTAGGGTTTAGGGTTTAGGGTTTAGGGTTTTGGTAGGCCGCACCTATCAAAGGGGAGAAGGAGGGACCCTTAATGGGGACCCCTACCCTATGATGGGCTATATCATGGGTATATAATAGCTATATCAAGGGTATATACCTAGCAGTCCTTATTTAGGGTCCCTCCTTTTACCCTTGGAACCTAGGCAAGCGCTTGCGCCATCGTGCCGCGGAATATTGGGATCGGCGCCTGCGTCCAGCAGTACCCTCGCTATGTCTTCATGGCCATAGAATGCCGAGTACCTGCACTCATCGGTGCTCTGGCCGAGAGAATGCTCGAGCTTATGACAGATACCCTTTTTTACACCTGAACTATGTATGCATATGCAGATACCCTAAACCCTGAACGAAGATCCAAGACGTTTGCGGGGCAAGACATGTGAAACTGATCTGTCGTAGATACACCAGGGCCGTCGTGCCATCGCCGTTTCCCAAGTTGATACCAGCACGGGCCTCCAACCTGGGCAGTTGTTGAGAAATTTGGTTTGAGTTACCATAGCAAGGAAACCCTATCTAGGATACCCAGTAACCTAAGAATAAAAAGGCCTCTCTTTTTGGTATTGGGTAACTTTATAAGGAACCTAGGACTACAAAAAGGGAATAAGGGTACTACTGAGCATCCTAGCTATGACTTCCTTTTGACCCCTGACATGGTAACTTAAAATAAGTTCAAAATTAAGCTCCTTCACAAAAGAACCAGCAACAGCAAGCGTACCACGTCGGCATTGCCATGTCGTGCAGCCCTGGACAGAGGCCTCTGATGTCTCCTAGGTCCGGCCCAGGGTAATAGAAGGTTTAGGGTTTAGGCTTTAGGGGTTGGGGTTTAAGGTTTAGGGTCCTTCAGAAATCGAATGGGGTTCCGCTAAAGCGTCCTGCGAGGCATCTAACTATAAACAGGGTTTCAACACACCGTGGACTTGATTACTCAAGTCCAACTATTCTAGCTAGAACGAGGTTTTCGGGTGTGAATATATAGTATATAAAGGTAGATGATAAGAAAAGCATCTCGTGAAAGCGGCGCCTGATGTGTCGTTGCACTTTGAAAGAACATTGTCAAAAGGTTCCAATTGTAATCTCAGAATCAAGCATGCTAAGTCTGGATCTTGAGGCAGCTGAAGCAATGCCTCAACCTCCTTTGTATCACCACTTTCAGCAAACCGGTTCATCTCTCCAGCCTGTTCCAAGGATGTGTCGCAGAAAGCAAGCAGGACGAGCTGCATGTTCATCGATGCATCTACTTCCATACCATCCTCTAAGCTTCCTCCTCCAAGCAGGAGTCTTTGCCGAAATCGGGGAGGCAAGCCGTGCTCTTTGTGCAGAAACTGCTTCACTGACCTTACATCTCTCAAACCTTCTAGAGGCACAGTCGCCAGCTCCTCCCCAGAAAGCCATCGGACATGCAACATCTTGGCCCAGCTGCTGCAGGGCAACAGCCATGTATGAAGTAGGGTTATACCTTGAGAGAACATGAAATATCTGCGCATTCACCCAGACTCGAACATGAAACTATTCCTTGACTTTCTGCTGACTGTGACATGAGAGGAAACCCTCGAATTCCAAAAAGACGAGACAACGAGTCCTTATCACGGCTTCTTCCGTAGTGATGCGCTTCAAAATGCTACGGTTTAGGGTTTAGCACGGTTGCTTTGGACAGCGGCTGTTGAGCAGAAAGGAAGCAGAGTGTCGTGCACGAGCCTTGCCGTCCTTCCCGTGGCCCGAAGAGAACAATCCGAACACTTTGCTTGAACAAGCCACTGGACTGCAGCCCACCACAGTCTTATAACCTACACTCCCTCAGACACCCAAAAATATGCCTCAAATCTGCATCTAGACCCTAACCCACCCGAAACCCTAAACCCCAAACCCTAAGCCTCTACACCCTAAACCCTGACTTGGGGCTTCTAGAGGCGTTGGTCAGGGGAGGGACCTTTCGGAGAGCAAGTCGTCCGAGGTGAGGGAGGAGTCTGCGTCCTACTGCAACTTTTCTGTTGTCACCCAGGAAATTTCGTCTGAGCTCTCAAACTCCGATCCCTACTGCCGGGTCTGGGGCTCAGGTTTTGCGAAATGGAAACCAACCACACCTTAAGTCCCCAAGCCAAGCATCTCACTAACCTTAAGCCCTTCACCCTTCTAAACCCTAAACCCTCTCTCTCTCTCTCTCTCTCTCTCTCTCTCTCTCTCTCTCTCTCTCTCTCTCTCTCTCTCTCTCACAGGCACTCAAACCCTAAACCCTAAATCCAGAAACCCTAAGCACCGAAAGCCCGAAACCAAGAGTTCAAGGTCTCGGGTTTAGGGATGACAGAAACAGAAGCCTGACCCCACAGACAAAGATAGGGTTTAGGGTTTAGGGTTTAGGGTTGTGGTGAGATGAGTACGAAACATCATCGCCGTGATGACGATCACCATAAACATCATCATCAACAACAACAAAGTTATCACGATCATACAGTCATACAACTCATGTCGTCAAGAAATCATATAGTCATGGTTAGCAAGAAGAACAAGAATAGCAAGGACAACCATCGTCAAAATAAGGTTTGCACTGATAGCAATACTGGCACAGATGACAATGGTGATGGTGACGAAGAAGAAACGAAGACGCCATGATGCGGATGATGAGGATGATGAGAGCAGAGCAGAAAACAATGATGATACCATTATGTCTAAGCCACCATAACCCCTAAACCGTAAATCCTGAAGCCGGGAGCTCATCAAGGGTTCAGGGCTTGGGGTTTAGGGTTTAGGTGATCCCTGAACTCCGATCCTCATAGCACTCCGGGTCTTGCTCGTCTGCAGCCTCAGCAGGCGCTAGAGGCGTAGGAGGGTTTGGGTCTCTAAGGGCTTTGAGGTCATGGCTTCAGGCGTTTAGGAGTCAAGGGTTACTTGGAGGTTCATAGTGAGGTATGAGTAGGGTTATAAGTAGGATAACTAGAGTTCTAACCCCTACTAAGGGACATATAACCCCACTTATAACTACACAGGAACCTCCAAGAAGGGGATTGGGCTCCAGGCTTCGAAGGTTTCGGGGCCTTGGTGCTTGGGCTTTCGACTGTCACACTCGCACCACGTCCGCAAGACAAGTCAGGGGCTCAGGGCTCAGGGCTTGGGCGGCTCTTAGGGTTTAGGGTTTAGGGTTTAGGGTTTAGGGTTTAGGGTTTAGGGTAATAAGTATGCGCCTGATTGGGAGCCAGGTGTGTGGGGCTTTCGTTGTTGGGGAGCGTTCTCGGGCATAGTGGACGTGCATGGCTCCCTGGGTGAGGATCGGAGAGTGTCCTCTTAGTGTCGCCAGATGTTAGAGATTCGACCCAAATGCCACGGACCGAAGCACCGACGGCGCCATGGACTCGTGCCACGCAGCGACCCCAGATTACCCAAAACTGATCAACGAGTTCTCATAAGCTACAACTCCCAGATCCTCAGGAGATGTCTGGGATAGCAGGTAAAAGGGCATCACCCCAGCGATTGCTGACCAGGATGTCTAGGCTAGAGAAAGCTCCCGGAACGCACGGAAGACCGAGACCTTCGTCAAGATCGTCATCAACCCTGGGCCCTAATTCCTACACCGTAAGACAAACCCACAGACTCCAATATCCCTTAAGTAAGGAATATTCCTTAAATTATAGTAGGATCCCTAATATGATTTAAGGAATATTCCTTAATTAAGGGATATTGGAGTCTCTGGGAAGTCTCAACCCTGAACCCTCGACCCACCGGTCTCCGACCCAAGATCTCCACCACAAAGCTCGTAGACACCGAGTGCCCAAAAGGGCTTAGGGTTTAGGGTTTAGGGTTTAGGGTTTCTGAGGAACTATACGTTTGAACACAATGCAGCCTATGTCGCAAAGCCTGTCAGCCGCTTGTTTGCATGCGCTTCCCCTAAGGGTCCAAAGTACCCGTATAGTAGAATGTAGGGTCTCTGTATATTCAGAGTTACTACTATGATGTCGTGGGGAAGTATTCCCCATAACAGTACCTAGGACCCCTTTGGGTTCGATCAGCAGCCTAGACCCTGAAACCCGACTCTGGCTTCCAAAGGCTCAAACCTTGGGCTTTGGTGCCATGATCTTAGAAGCTGCCGGCACCCTGTAATACTGACTATAAGGATTATATTAGGGCCCTATTCTCTTCTATTTATACCACTATTACAGGGTGGGGGCCCCTCCTAAAGGATCCCTCTAGAATTTGAGATATATTGCTCACTTAGGGGGTGTTGCAGTCTGCGGGCACAGCCCGGTATTGTCCGGAAGCCACCGGGCCCTGTGAAGCGCTTCGGAAGACTGCAACGGGAACCAAAAGCAATTCCCGAACTCGCATTTAGGATGATAAGCAGTTTATTCACTGGCCCAAACCCCAAGGAAACAAAAGTTGAAAAGAAACTTTCACAGTCGACTACCTTATAAGAACCCTAAAAGTTGAAAAGTTGAGTTTACGGCAGCCGATAAGTTTATCAGATTCTACAAGGCTTGCGTAAAGGTTCTAGAGGGACTTGGGGTTAAGATTTCTATTGGGTCTTAGGGTTTAGGGTTTAGGGTCTTTTCTGTGTGGGTCCGACCCTAAAGCCTAGACACTTAAACCCTAAACCCCTGAACCCTCTCGTGCTCAAAGCGAAACCCCTAAACCCTAGACCCCTAAACCCTCACTCCTAAACCCCGATCCCTAAACCATAAAACCCTAAAAACCCTAAACCCTGAACCTTCAAACCTAAAACGCTGAACCCTAAACCCTAAACCCAGGACAGCTTTGGGCCGAAGTGCCAGCACCGCATCTTCGCCGGTGGCGTGGAAATCGCCCCTCTCGTCTGCTCGAGGCTCCTTGCTGAAACCGTAAACCCGAAACCCTCAGGTTTAGGGTCTAGGGGTTTAAGGTTTAGGGTTTAGACATACCAGGGCTTAGGGTTTAGGGTTTAAGAAATACCAGGGTTTAGGGTTTGCAAAGACAAAACCCTCAACTTACCTAAACCCTAAATGAATGCGGAGCGTCGTCAGTGTTTTGTACCCTTTAAAGGGGTGATCGCTTTGTTGGAGTTTCACAGGGACCCTCGCACAGACCCGAAAAATAAAATTTCTGGATCCCAAATTCAGGTACTCCGGATTTCGAGCAATTCCCTCATTGGTTCGCATCTGAGGGATTTCGGGATTGCCAACTTGACTTTCAGCCCTTGCAACACAGGATTGCTCATACATCCTATCGAACCTGGCAGCTGAAGTGGCAGGCACTGAGACTTGGACTAAAGCAGGACAACTCCGGAAGACCTGTCCCTTGTCCGGGTGAAGAGTAACCTGGTTTCAGCTGCCACATAAGCCCTGAACCCGAAAACAGGTCCGGAATACAAACGCTGGAAGTCGAATGCCACATGTTTCAAAAAAGCTGCGTCCTTCTTTGCAAACATAGACTGCAAGTTTGCCGTGATGGAATCGTACTCAGTGGCCGAGGTGGCACCTGCAACGAATATGGCTCCGAATATCTGATCAGCTTCTGTGGCTCAAGGGCGTAACGTTTGGGCTTTAGGGGGTTTGGGGGGTTCCGGGCTTAAGCCACCACGTGGCTTCGGGAAGGAGCCTCATTGAACTTCTAGATGTGCACACGCCTGGTTAATCAGGATGCCCGGGGCCGACACCACGAGAATGACATATTTTGGGTACGGCCCCCACTCAGTAATAGTTGAATAATATTAATATTCCTTCTATAGATATATTAGGACCTTCATAGTAGCCCTATTATAGACTCTTACTGTAAGGCAGTACCTAAGACATATTATGATACATCAGCAGTAGAGTAGAGGGGTGCTATGGGCTACAGGGTCCCTCTTCGAATCCGCCGAAACTCTCAGGTTTGTAAAAGCCCTCGGCATTCTTCACACCACAACAACAACAGTAGCGGAGCAGCAGCAGCAACAACAACAACAACAGCGGAGCAGACAGCAGACAGCAGACAGCTGCGAGCTGTGAGCTGTGAGCAGAGAGTAAAGGGTAGAGCCGAGCAGAGCAGAGCCGAGCCGAGCGGAGCAAAGCACTGCAGCTGCAACAGCAGCAGCGACAGCGACAGCGACAGCGACAGCCAAAGCAGCAGCAACAGCAGCAGCAGCAACAGCTGCAACAGCAACAGCTGCAACAGCAACAGCTGCAACAGCAACAGCTGCAACAGCAACAGCAGCACCTACAGCACCAACAGCACCAAGAGCACCAATAGGAGAAGCCGCGGCAGCCCCCAACCCGCACCCCAATCCAGAAATCCCGCACCCTAAGGTCTACGGGTCTACGGCCAGGCCCTGAACCGCTGAAAGAAGCCGTCCTGCCTGTGGCTGCCTTGGCCACATGCCCTGCATCTTTGCGCCCAGGCTCCTGGGAGGGTTCAAGCGTGGGGTTTTGGGTCGCATGTTGGGTCTGGGGTTTAGGGTTTAGGGGACAGGGTTTCGGGTTTAGGGTTTAGGGTTGTTGGGTCTGGGGTTCAGTTGAGTTTGGTAGAGTTCAGGGCATCGGTGCTACAAGGCGGTTAGCGGGGAAGGGAGGCGCAAGGAGCCGGGGTTGGGGGATGCTGGGGGCTTCGGGCTCGAAGGCTAAAGCACTCCTTTCTTTTTCACTACCTTAACTTGCAGCACAAGCAACAAGTCGTTGGCGCTAACCTACTTCCTGCTAATTTACTACGGTCCCGGCGTCACTGTTGCAATGAATGTTCATAAACACTGATTTTACACTTCTTTGATTCCTATAGAAGGCTTTCACACTGAGTTAGTTCACACAGAGAGAACTTCACACTGAGCTTCACACTGAGCTTCTTCACATAGAGACTTCACATCGAGCTGCTTCACAACGATTTGTTTATAATAGCTGAGACCAACCAACACACTTGCGACGTTCAATAGATGTATGATCACTGGAAAGGTGGTTGGTATCTTCTGGCATGATCAATAATCGTCTCTCGTATTGCTCGGTCGTGTTTATTGAAAGGCACCTTCGGAACCGAGACATCTTTTGATGTGATTATGTTCCAAGCTTTTTCCATATTCGTGGTAGTCCAAAACTGTCTTGGACGGCCTACTCTCCGTTGTTCTGTTTCTCTTGGCACAGCAGACTGCGTTTTGAAAGCGGCTTGATGCAACGGATGTTGGCGGTCCCGACGTAACACATGTCCTAACAGCTTTAGTCTCCGTTCTCCGAGAACTTCTGTGAGGGGCTTGATTTTTCGGTGTATGCCCGCGCTTGGGGCATTCGTGACTTCGTTAGCTCTTTTGTACACGTACTCGTTTGTGTTGCTGCGATTAATAAACGTAGTGTGCAACTGAAGAATTTTTCGCAATCCTTTCAGCTGAAAAGTATTGAGCAATTTTCCGGCTGATTCTGTGGGTTCCAATGTCTCCAACCCATAAAGAAGTTTGCTTGTAATGACGGCGTTGTAGACCAACAACTTCCATTTCTTGTTACAATTCGTTTTAAGCCAAAAGATGTCCAGCTTTTTTAAGATGACCATTGTAGCAGAGATTCGTCTACGGATTTCCTGACTGGGGTCAACTCGTTTTGAGACCGACGCTCCCAAATAAGTCGTCTCTTGCACACACTTCATTCTTTCCCCACTCTTGAAGCGTATATTGCCTCTGGCATTATATGCAAGAAAACAACATTTCGATTGATTTAGTTTCAAATGCAGGTAATCGGACTCTTCTTCAATTAAATGTAAGTAGTCATTGGCAGTCTTTTGGCTTTTTGCAACGATTAATGTATCATCCGCGTACAACAACTCTTGAAAATTGATGCCCTGGAAAGTTTTTCTGCGATTCGTGTCATTAAAGCTGTCCTTTACATCAGAAAACATGACATGCATCGTTAGAATGAACAGAAAAGGGCTGAGGGGACAGCCTTGTCTGATTCCTGTACGCTGTGTGAAACGGCTACTTGTATGTGAATTATGATTGACCTGGAACATTGGCATGCGGTAGAGAGCTTTGATAGCGTCTAACATGTCATTGGGAATGTTCAATCTAACAAGCGACGTGAACATCTTCTCATGATCAATCTTGTCAAAGGCCTTTTCCCGGTCTGAAAATATCAGGAACAAACGTTCATGTCCTTGTTCAACGACGTCGGTGAGACGTCGCACGCAAAAAAGAGCTTCGGCTGTTGACCTGCCTTTCCGGAAACCAAATTGTGTACTTCCAATGTGTGCGTCCATAGCGTTTGCTATTCTAGCTTTGAGAATGTATGCGAAAATTATGTAAGTCGTATTCAATAAAGATATTGGCCTATAATTCTCAGGATTTTCATGATTTCCTTTCTTGTACAAAAACACTATCTGAGCAAATGCAAAATCATCGGGCACATGTTTTTTGTTCCACAAAACATTCAGGCATCGTGTAAGTTGTTGAATGTTTTCTAGGTCGAGGTATTGGAAAAGTTCGTTAACCACTCCGTCTGGACCTGGAGCCTTGTTTGTTTTCAGCTTTCGAATCGCCTCCTGAACTTCGGTACATGAGAACTCACCTGTCGGAATGTTTAAATTTTTGTCAATGATTTGTCTTCTGTGGGGATCGACAGGACTAGGATTCTTATTAGGTGCCCATTGTCTTTCATAAAGATACTCAGCCAAGGCATGCTTTCTTGTTCATGGGTACCCTGTTGCCGTGTATATCTTTCATGCTATAGAAATTAGGGACAAAAGGTTTCTTCTCGTATCGAATATTACGCCAAGCTTCTTTTACATCAGACAAGTCTTGCAATCGCTCCATCTTCCATGAGTGTTTATCTTTACGCGCTTGTTTTGTAATCTCTTTGTTCAATGCTTTCTCCTCCTCTATCTTGCCATTATCTCTAGCTGTTTGTCTATCCTTTATCAATTGCCATGTCTCATCACTTATATAATGCTTTGCAATGGTTTTATGTCGTCTGAGAAAGGATTGGTTTGCAGAGGTCTTCATTGCCATAGCAAAACGCTCACAGTTGGACAAGCCCTCGTCTTGTCCATGCTCCAAGACAAACATGCTGCGAATCCGTTCGTTGTAGGTCTCTTTTTGTCCTGAAGTCGGAAGGAAGTATATATCTTACTACCGGATCTTTTTTCCTCGGGGCATGGGCCTTCAGTTTGAGCCTTACTACTGCTGTAACGATGGCGTGGTCGCTGTTGAACGCAATGTCAGGTCTTGATTCCACATCCGTGATACTATTTCGATAAGTGTTGGGTGCTAAAACAAAATCTAGTTGTGCGAACCTGTCTGGAGTCCATGGGCTCTTGAAACCTTCTGTCGAAGCATCCTTGTACGTACATTTCTTGTGATCTGGCTTCGGGAAAAATGTGTTCATGATTGCAAATTCATTTGTAATGCAAAAATCGATTAGGAATTGACGGTTGTCTCGCTGTACTTCTGGGAGGTTTGGGACATGTTGTGGGCCGTATCCAAAAACCTGTCTGCCCATAACTTGATCTTCGACTTGGCTTATACTGCCGTGTAGCCTGGCGTTTGTATCACCCAAAATAAATGTCGGACCATGCTTCCCGCGGGCATGTACAATATCCTGTAACATGTCCCAGTGTTGCATTTTCTCCTCCAATGGTTTGCCACTGTGTGGCGCATAATGGTTTACAAAACAAATGTCTGGGCCGTGGTTGGCCAATAAAACTTCTATGAACCTGCTGCTGTGCGGGATACAGTCTTTAACATGATCAATAAGTTTAGGACCTATAACAAAACCCACTCCATGATGTTCAATGACTTTATTTGCTGTTTTGGCTTTTGCTTTTGGCTTTGCGTTTGCGCGCCTGCCAGGTCGGTTGACCTGAACAGACCTCGGATGCTGTTCTTGCACATTAGAGCCAAAAACGAACTTGAATTTATCACCAGTCTTGTCTTGCACTTTTGTTTCTTCTGAACTGGAACTGACTTTAGTTTCTTGTATGGCCATGATGTCGATGCGGTGTTCTCGCATAATCTGCATGATTTGTTCGCGCTTTCCTGCTTCAACAAGCCCTCGGCAATTTAAAGATGCAACGGTGACTTTTTCCGCATACCTTAGCTTCGTTGCTGTCGTTTTGTTGGGTGAATGAGAAATTCCATTGTGGCTATGGCTACTCTGACTATTGTGGTTATGGTAACTTTCTGACACGCATTGATTTGACGAACTTGATCTGTTTCTTTTCTTGATTCTCGTTCTGGTCTTCCTTTCGGCTTGTCGTTGGGTTATAACTTGTCGTTGTCTCTTCCATGTTTGTATGAGACAATCATGTTGTTTTTTACTATGTCTAAGCAACTTCTTGGCATTGTGCCGGTCGTTGTGTTTCTGAAGTGAAGATGATAATTGTGATGACGCCTGCGTGTAGTCTTTAAGGTTTGTTCTCAGTAGGTTAGCTTCTTGGATTGCATCACCAAGTGGAGAGGCTGCAATCATCTTCCTCACCACTTCGCTGCTTGATGATTTTATTTTGCGCCAATTTCGGCGGTTCTCAGTTCTGTTTTCGTTCCATTGTTTATAACGGCTAAAGCACTCCTAGACGGGTGTAATACAGGGGCCTTAACAAGTAGAATACGGTCCTTTGAGGGCTTCTATAAGGATTTAGTTTAGGGGCCTTTTAGTTAAAGAAAATTAACAAAATTATGATAAGGAACACCCAAAATAGTTTTGGTAATTAATTATTGAGGCCCCTATTTTTTCCCTCCTACCTAGCAAGGACGAAGCCCGCAGCCCGCATTGCAGGGTACTTGGTTGGAACATTGGACTTCAAACTACAGCTTAGGTTTCAAAGGCAATCATATCCCGGATTTCAGAGTAACTTGCTGCCTTCCAGGTGTTAGCACACTTTAGGCTTTGGTGTACTCCGCGAGATGTCTGCTTAACAGTCATCACCATTCAACATCGCTTCCTTCAAGGTCGGCTTGTACTCCTCAGATTCACCCAGTCTGCAGCTTCATCATCAAATGTTCCACACAGCGCTCCAGTGGCCGACGCTGTGTTTGTTGCAGAGTGTTTACGGTTTAGGGTTTAGGGTTTTGAATTATGAACTTGCTTGCACACAGCTAGGTTTCAGGCACTCTTCCATCACGGCATGCGCTGCCACGACCATCAGCAAAATGCCCTGTAGTGTGGCTCCAGACTTGGTCCTCAGTGTGGATAAAATTACTCACGTGATATGCATCCCGTGCCTTGGGTGGGAGTTCTGCACAGCGGGCTAGGAGCTCTGTCTTCACACGAACTTAGTGAGGAGACGCCGAGGCAATTACCCAACACACCCTGAAACCGCCAAGCATAGACCGGAGTCAGCAAGCTGGCAGAGCCCTCTGTCTCTCCGAACTTGAAAGTTTCAGGTGCTTCTCGGGTGAAACGAAACTTCACCAACCATAAACTGCTCGTTCAGTGTCATTCCTTTGAGATGGAGAACACTGCCTGTACATCAGCAGCTTGACGATACGACCGCCGTTTCCGGCATTGCCAAAAAGAACCGGCGAGTCGCAAACGCGCCTGAATCGGTTGCGTTGTAGCAGATCCAACCCTCCGAACAGAGACTGACTAACTATCAGCCGCTCAATTCCGCTCACAGTGGCGGCGGAAACGGTCTCAAGACTCACCCGAGCGCAAGCTCAGAGGTGGACCCTTGTGCCGCAGGTTTGCTGCAAGGATGCTAGCTCCTCCATTAACTGCGGAACAAAAGCTTCCTCAGAGCAGAGTCGACAAAGGAGCTGAATCAAGCATGCCATCGTCATCTTCCGCAAGACCTTCCGAATGTTCTTGAGAGAGACCTCCGAGTCACCGCCGGCCCCAGCGGCCCCAGCCTCTGGCATGCTCATCTCAGTCGCATCTGCTCCTAGCTGTGAAAGCCTCGCCAAGAGCGGTGCGACCTCCATCTGCAGCTCGCTGGCTTCAGCGCGCTCGAAGAGGATAGGGAGGAAGATGTCCAGCAGCCGATCGGGAGGCAGCTTGGCCAGTCGCTCTCTTCCCTTTCGCTCCATCATCACAGGAGGTCTCGTGTGCGGCATGTGGCAATAGCCGCATGAACGCCCCATCTCACACTGCCCGATGCTGAAGAATTGGCAGGGTTTGTGGCAAAGCTCTGGATGCCCAAAGCTGCCTTTGTTCATAGCGTCCAGGTGAGTCTGGTCTCCCAGCAGCACCACATGCCGCTCTTCAAACTCTCTTTCGCTGCCAGGGAACTCGCTCGAGAACGGTCCTTGCGGAGGTCCCATGCCCGTCAGATACTCGCCGGCATTGCGTGTCAAGGTGTGAAAACCAGCAAGGCCGGCCTTGAGCCATACATTTTTGGATTGATGGAGGCTCCGCACTGACCTCCTGATGGGTTCTACACCACGACGTCCATGTCCGCCTCCACCCTCAACTCTAAAACCTACCAGTAGACCCTTCGAAGCCGAAGGGAAACCCCAAAAGGCCCAAATCCCCACTTCGACACCTGGCTCCGGCCGGCACGCCGCTGAAGCGCTCGTTGCCCGTGGCGCCAGAGGCCTGCTCTCTGGGCTTGGGGTTCCCAAAAACTCCAATATCCCTTAACTAAGGGATATTCCTTAAATCATATTATGCGCCCTCTTCTAATTTAAGGTAGATTCCTTAATTAAGGGGTATTGGGCTCTCTGGGTTTTGCGGGGTTGATCAAAATTATGGGACCCTGTTGGTCCCCTTGACTATACGGAGTGTACGAGTATACTATATACAGACCAAAAAATAGCCCATAATTTTGAGCAACACCCATTTGCAGATTTGCTCGCTTGGACTTTGGTCAGGTCTGAGCAGACGCCGGGTTGCGAAGTAGCAACATCGAGATAACTGGGTTGTAGTTTTGGGGCCGCCAGAAGCAGCTTCTGAATAGGCAACTCCTTTGAACCTTAAAAGGAAGTTCTGAAGTTTCCCAACGTGCCAACTAGTCTAGTAAAGTGCAGACAGACCGAAAGCAAAACAGATTTGGGCCATATTTGGGGTTTAGAGATGGGCTTTGTGATTAGGGCTTTACCCTAAACCCTAAACCCTAGAGGTTGGGGGCTAGGGTGGGTTTGGGGTCGAGGTCGTTTGGTCCTGTTACGGGTTCGGGGTCTACTTGGAGGTTCATGGGTAGTCATAAGTGGTTGTAAGCCCCCTAAAAGGGGCTATAATTATGGTTACCCTACTTATAACCCCACTTATAACTACCCCTGAACCTCCAAGTAGTTTGGCTCGATCATGGGTTTGAAGCTCAAGCACTGGGGTTCGATTATGTACTGTAATTGGGGTCTGCGGTCTGAAGGTTCGATGATGGAACCAGGGCAAGGCTTGAAGATTCGTCGTGTGGTTGGGCTTAGGGGTTTGCTGGCCCACCATCCGAAGACGATGAGCCGAAACGAAGAAGTTATCCTATTCAGTCCTAAACCCTAAACCCTAAACCCTAAACCCTTCGCTCATCAGAAGGGGCTCCCGAGCCCAGAAAAAAAAAAGCCCGGTCGGGTCCTGCATCCAGAACCCTCACTCAGTAACCCCATCACCCCAGCCGAACCAGCATCTCATCCAAAGCGTCGAGATGAGCCAGTATATTATGGCATAGGAGGCGTCTGTAATTAGAACTGGCGGTTTGGGAATACTCTAGCATGTATGTGTACATATATGTATGTGTATGTGTATGAATCTATATGTGTCTAAACATATACACAAACATATTCAAGAACACGAAGGAATAACAGTAACGATAATTAGCAGGCCCCTGTATTGGCGGGCCCGACTAGGGCTTCATGAGCACAAGGGACTTGTTGGGACTTGTTGGGGGGTGCTACAAAGGTTTCTGAAAGGGTTACTAAAGTTTGTGGGCCTCAAGAACCTCAACAGAGTTCTAGGGCTATCTGTCTATCGATCTATCTATCTACCTGTCTACCTATCTACATGCCTCTCTGTGCGTGTGTATATATATACACTTGTATACTTATGTTTAATGTATAAGTATGTATAATTACGTATGTATGCATGTATGTATGAACATACATATGCATGCCGTGTGTATCTACGCAGACATCTATGCTTGTACATATGTGTACTTGTATAGACACGTAGATCATCATTCAGACCTTTGTGTCAGAAGTCTGCCACAGCACGGCAAAAAAAAAGGTAACTGCCTTGAACGCGAGACACTTCACGCAAGAAACCCATTCAAACGAAGACCATGGAGGTGAACTGACCTCAGTTTCTTCTCTAAGCCCTCTCCGGGGCTCAAAACCCCAAACCCCAAAATCCAAGACTCTAGAACGCCAAGACCTTTCTTGAACGAGGTCTCTCTGAAGTGCCTCCCGATGTGCCAGATCTACAAACATGTTAACCTCTCCTGCTCTTCAGGTGAGGGCTGAAAGGAGAACGCCACGAACTAAATCCCAAAGCCTAAACCCTAAACCCTGGGAAAAATCCCTGAAGCCTTGACATACTTATCCGAGAAGGCCTGACACGTCGGCCGCCTTTGGCGAGCTGAGCCATGTCATCTCGTCGCCGCCTCGCTTCGATCGGTCTCCAGTTGGTTACTTCGAAGTCTAAGTATCTTATAGCATGTTATCGTATGTTGTAGTATACTATCACAGTCGAGTATCGTATACTACAGTCTATTACAGCCCATTAGCATGATATATAGCATATTATAGTATGTTGTAGCATATTGCTATAGAATGTATAGTACAGTCTGTTACAGCCCATTATCGTCATTTCCTTCGAAGTTTTTTTGTTTTAGACGATCCTTTTCCGTCGAAGTTTTAGGGCTTAAGGTTTAGGCTGGTTTAGGGCTTTGTCATTTCTATTTAGCCAGGACTTCGGCTTTAGGATCAATGAGCCGACGAGTGTTCGAAGGTTTTGAGTTCCGGGCCTGGGGCGTTAGCAGCCTCGCGTCTTCTTAGGCTACACCAGGTTTCGTTGAACCCGCTTTTCCTCCTGCCCGTGAAGGTAGTCCGAAGGCCCTGCGGGCTGAGGAATCTTGTCCCCTCCAGGATCACCCTCTGCCATGATCCCCTGCAAAAGCAATGTCACATGAGTCAAGACCTCGGATTGTCACTTCAGCGGTTTAGGGTTTAGGGGTTTGATGCTGTTTAGGGTCAATGGCTTAGGGGTTCTGTTTAGGGGTTTAGTTTAGAGGTTTTTGTGTCAGACTTATTCAGAAGACTTCACGATGACTGGAGGTACAAATGTCGCTTCAAAGGACCAGCTCATGCCTGCGTGGCTGTCCTGTCTCTCTTGGGGTCGGATCAAGTGCTGCGACTCTCAGAGCTAAGTAGACGGATAACGAAAAGGTAAGGTGGGAAGTCTGGTGGGTGGCCGTATTTTTGACATACCGGAGCTTCTTCATGGAAGGACTCGTAAAATTAACCCAAGTAGTCGGAGCGTAAATGTAAGAACCAACAAGGGGCCTCATTGTTGAGAAGCGAAACCCGTTCTAGGACCCCAAGAAACAACGCCAAGCTTGAGTCCTAAGGAAGCTATATGCTTTGAACCATAGAGGACCTTTCAAACTAGCGAGTTTGCAGTTTGTCACTCCCCAGGGAGCCCAATGCCCCTTAATTAAGGAATATACCTTAGCCTTAAATCATATTATGCGCCCTCTTATAATTTAAGGTATATTCCTTAATTAGGGGGTATTGGGCTCTCTGGGTCCCTCCCCTCTCACCCACAGGAGATTTGGTCCCGGACGAACCGCTGTGCTGCTCCAAACGCCTCGGCTAAGCAACAGGCAATGCCGAAGGGAGCGGGTTTAGGGTTGGGGTTCCTTAAAAGGGCTCCTTAGAGGGATCTATAGGGGTTCCTTTAAAGGAATCTATAGGGTTTACGGTTCAGGATTTTTTGAACCCAGGCCACCAGGGTTCAGGATTAAAGAGACAAAGAGAAGAGCGTTTGGCACTGTCGGCCCGGAAGCGCCCCAAGCAAGCTACTCATCGGAATGCTAAGACAAACACAGGCCTTAACGCCGCCTCTGATGTGAGTAAACGGGGCGCAGGCAGGGATGGAAGCTACTATGGACCAGATGTCTCAGGAAGGAAGAGGGAAGAAATCCATCTCCATGAAGCACAAATCAGCCGCACGGACCCTGCTATAACACTCTCTATGTTCCGGCCTAACGCGAACTAAGAATGTCGCAGCAAAATCCAACACTAAAACAGCATACCATTAAACTCATGAAACCGGTTGATAAACCAGAAGCCTAATATCCTGAACCCGAAAGTTGTTTATTGGCGAAAGCTGCAGTTGGCTTGCAAGGCAGCTCTGCATAAGAGGAACCCTAATCCTTAGTGACATCCATTTGCCACACACCGGTTTTGGATTTCTCTCACATGCCTTCACCCCGGTACTGTAGAAACCCCGAACACTCAAGCCCCCGACCTTCAGCGCCCTCAGAACCATAATCGAAACAAGTGAATCGTCGTGATGTACAAGTAAAAACAGAATCCCGAAGAACACTGCAGTCACAGGCTGCTTTCAATCCACAACCAAAACTCTAACAGCCTTTGTGGCTTTCCCCTAAACCCTAAACCCGTTTTGCTACTGGACTCAAGTCTAGCCAGGCTACGGCCGGAAAGACCTACCTTTTAGGGTTCCTTATCATGGTTTCTATATACAGTTCCTTAATAGCGTAGGTCTTTTCGGCTAGAGGTAAACCCTGAACCCTCAAACGACATGCGGCTTTCGCCGCGCCCCAAGCGCGCCGGCCGCAGCCGGGCTTTTGCCAAGCCTCGGCGTACGGCGCCCAAAGCCTCGGGCAGTTGGTCCGGGTTGAGAGGCTTGAATATGGGGTCCTTAATGATTAGAATAAGGTTCCTTCAAAAGGGATCTAGAGGGGCCACTATAAGGGCTATGATGAGGATTTCGTACAAGGGCCTCAATGACTAGAATAGGGTTTGGGTACATTATACTCTAGATTGTAAGTAGAAGTGGCTTGGGGGTTTTGCAGGGGCTTATAGAATGGCTAAGTTTCCCAGGCTGTAGGATGTGGCAGTGTCATGAAGGGTTTGGGCCTGCGTACTTACGATTTAATGCTTTCAGCTTCACTGCAAACCCCTGGTTCACAAACCCCTCCCCTTGATGGGACTGTAATCGAAATCCTGGGAATAACCGGGCGAAGAAATGGAGCTTATTTGACAGGGGTCGACACCCGGAATTGAAGATGTCTTTGAGGGAGGTCGTAGAGGGCTGTGCAAAGGCTGTGCAAGGACTGCCCAGAGAGCCCAATACCCCTTAATGAAGGAATATGGCTTAAATCAATTAAAAACCTCCTCACAATTTAGGGTACATTCCGTTCTTAAAGTAAGGGGGTATTGGGGCTTTCTGGACTGTATGTTCCAATTCCTCTGCAGCTCCCGCGTTTAGCTCGTCTGGCCTTGGGTTTGCGACTTGAGGGCTCCCTAAACCCTACTTGTCGGGTATCACGGGGAACTAAAGGTTAACCTTTTCAGGGTATAGCGGTTTAGGGTTTAGGGGACTATACTACTTTTCTACCCGAAACGGTTAAAGGTTACCTACTCTACTACTAGGAACCCTTTTCAGCACGGACTGTTTAGGGTTTCGGCGCTCACACTCGGACAATCCAGGCGAGGCATGTGGTTTCGACGCTCACACTCGCACAAGGCAGGCAAGGCTCCACATAGTCCACAGAATCACAACTAAGAGTGTGCAATGCCCCAACACATGCAGCAATGTCAATGCAATAAAACCAATGATACAAGTAAACGAACAAAGGGGACCAAGGCATACGGCTCGATGGCATAAAAGACAGTGACATGTGCTCGGGGCAATTGCTGAGGCTAAATGTCTACCTTGAGACATTCCTGTTTCAAAAGGGCTACCCCTCATCGTACCCAATCGCCTTCCGCCTACTTTCCGCCCGTCACAGAGTCTCGCAATGCATTCGCATGCACCAGCAAAGGAAGTACACATGCACCAGAAAAAGAGGTACACGTCCACTCTGATTGCCGTCCTCTTTCATGCATCATGTATCAATACGAGCACCACACCCAGGACTGACTGTATCCAGATCAACAGGGCTCATGCCACGCATGCATCCATGCATCTGCAAACTCAAGTGTCAGCGAACACACATGTCCACGAATTCCCAATGCAGAGCCAAATACATGCCTGTGACCAAAGGCAATCCCACCATGCAGAATTCTCATGCAGTAAAAATCACAAGCCACCATGCCATGCAGCAAATTCCAGCAAATTCCCATGCTCAAGTTCCATGCAGTAAATTCCCATGTCTGCCGCGCACACATGCAATCGCCACAGGCAGCACCATAGCCGACGAGCCAATTTAGAGTGCACAAGACCATTCCAAATGGGTCATCCTGCAATCCGAGCACACCGGATTACGGCATGGCTGGGTTGGCTAAGTCACGGCGCACAGTGTTACCCAGCAGCTGGTCCGCTCTCAGATACCACATCCGAAGCCTGACTCTCCAAATCAACCCATCAGAGATCTCCAATATGGTTTCCATGTGGTTCCGTTGCAATTCAGTCGCCGGGCATTGTGCTGCAACAACCAGGCAGGCCCGTAGCAAGTATCGTATGTACGCTCCCACCAGTTCGAGGCTGCAGACCTCTTCTTGTTCTGCCTGCAACGTCAAGAGGCGGCCATGCAGGTGCCTGGCAAGCATTCCAGCACTGTCCGTGTCCAGATCCTCGAAGAAATCCAGCAGGGCAGTGGCATTCAACCCAGTCACCAGTGTCACCGGCGGCGGACATGTGGCAAAGGTCATGGGAGCGAAGGCGCGGGGTAGGGCACTGTTGCCTATCGTAGGGGATGGGCAGTGTTGCCTATCAAGAAGATGTAAGACAGGTCGGAGAGGCACAGTCGGGATCCCTACTTCCTTGATGAACTGACCCCGGAAGACGACTGCAACGAAATGACCTGTAGCATCACAGTCATCGTTCAGGGAACACCGACACCACCCACAGTCACCGAGCGAAGCTCATACTTCCAGTCCTGCTTTGCTTATGACATGGTCCCTCACTCGCCCACCTCTCCACACCCTTCTGTCTGGCACATCACTCAAGGCTGTTGCGAAGAGGCCTTGTAGTTAGCCAGATCTCCCCAGGCACCGCCGGTGAGGCCATCCTGCGGACCGATCACGCCTGCAGAGGCCAGGCGGTGTAGGCACCCCAATCTCCCCAGGCGCCGCCGCTGAAGGAATCCTCGCTGGCCGAGTCATCCAGGTCTCAATGCCTCGAAGCGGTTGCACAGGCTGAGACCTCCGGCCGCGGTCCCGCGGCGAGGCTGGGGCCGTGGACCAAATATGCTGGTGCGCAGTAGCATAAGCCACACACCTTTCCGCTCGGACAGGAACATCCTCCCCAGCGTGCTGCTGGGTTGATGACACGCTTCACCGCTGGGTTGACAGGCTTCGCCGGCTTTGCGCCCAGGGTCGGATATTCGTCGAAGCACAGGTTCATCATCGCGGTGGCTTTAGCACTTGAAAGTCCGCGAAAGAAGTTGGTCGATAGTACGAATCTCCTTGTTGAACTTGTCCCGCACGATGGATCCGTGAACAACGGAAATTATAGGCCAAAAACCGTCCGCCCAGCTGTAGAGCCTTGTAGGTGTGATCTTTGTCGTCATGCAGCAACCTAGCATGGGTTTTCTGCACCAAAATTGTGAAAAAAACCTATGCCGTAGAAGAAATCGAAGAAGGTGGAATGTCACACAAGGTGAAGGCGACGGGGCCGACGAAGAAGAGGTGCTCCAAACCACCAACAACATGAGCTGTCCAAAAATGTCAGGCAGACATGGGCTGCCCCGAAAAGTGCAGGCAAGAACGGATCTGGCCACGAAGAGTAGGCGGGGCACTTCCGAAGAAGTACCCCGCCAGGCGGGTGCCAACTTCGAGAAGAAGGCACCCGCCGATGGTGCGATGCTGAGAATAGCATCTCCCCAATCCAAAGGCATAAACGGATCATGCTGGTATCGACCATGGGTGAAGCCGCCGGAGGCATTCATGGTCAGGTTAATTCCCGCCGCCACCACACCAGCGTGCAGAGCACTTCCGAAATGGTGACGGCCCCCCTCCGGGAGGGTGCATCACAACAAAAGGGTCTAGGGTCCTGATGTGGTTTAGGGTTCAGAGCTTAGGGTTTAGGGCCCATACCCTCAACCCCAAACGACACCCACCATTTTAGACTGGGTAGCTTGCTCAATCACCCTCGAGGATTCTGATTGAAACAACCTTGTATACTTCAAGAACCACGGCAATACGCCGCCCCGAGTTGGAAAAAACTGGCTCGGCCTCCGCCGGCTCTAGCTGGCATTGGCTGCAGAACGGGCCGTAGCACCTGCTTACCCAAAGAGCCCAGCGCACCGCTGGTTTACGGAATGTACACGACCCAGAGAGCCCAATATCCCTTCATTAGGGAATATTCCTTAAATCATATTAGGGATCCTACTATAATTTAAGGAATATTCCTGAACTAAGGGATATTGGGAACCCCGGGAGGGACATACCTTCACAATAGATAGTGACTTTCCGGGTCTTGGGTTTGGAGCTCTGGTCACTTCCTGCACTTCTCGATTTGGGACATCCTCGCGCATGGCCCATGCTAAACACAATGCCCCTTTAGTCCCTATAGATCCCTTCTAGGAACCCTCGTAATACTTGGAATAGGGTTTTGGGGCGGGTATCTTATACCATAGTAGCAGAAGGACGAAAAAGGGCGATGCCATTCCTTATGATTCCGGCCCTCTCTCAGGGCTCGCCAGCCACGTCCACAAAATCAGCGGACCAAAGGAAGAGAAACATGGACCCGTGTGCAATCCTGCCCGACCAGCCGATGGATCTGTGGCACAAGATCCAACATTCATGTGGGAGTTTCCGACAATTAGGGGTACCTTATTTTGGGGTCCTTATAATAAGGTTCTGGGTTAGGGTCCCCTACTTTCGGAAACTCCCATATACATACATATACGTATCTGCACACACACACACAGAGACACTTGGGCGTCAATTCCTTCAGCCCTAGACCCAAAAACTGCGAAGTAGGTCTGGACATGGGTCCCTCGGGTGAGTCTTTCGGACAATGACTCTGGTTCCTTCAGCGTAACCCTAATTTACAACAGGAAGCCCGGAACCTGATCTAGGTGGGGCTTTTAAAGCCTTCGAAAAATATTAGTAAATAAGATCCTCTTAAGCCCAATAGGGGAAATATAAAATGTCCCAAAACCCTACCCAGTGATCGAAGCCTAGAGCCAAACCTCAACCGTGGAGTTTTGTATAGTCGACCTGGCCAGGACAAAACCAGCCCATGCGGGAGTGTCGGGCTCTGAGCTTAGGGTTGGCTTGTGGTGGGTTTAGGGTTTAGGGTTTAGGGTTTAGGGCTGTGATTAAGCAATCCGGCGGTGGATGGCTCAGGATATGACAGCTACATGCTGCGATTGAAACCTAGAAGTTGAAACCCTGAGCCCAAGCAACGGGAGCCATAACCTGCAGACTTGCTCACGAGGCACCGTTCCTGCAGAAATCTGTCCATGAAGAGAAACCCCTGGGAGTTCAACAGCTCGACCTGCGTCGTGCTTTCGCATTTAGGGTTCACGGGGGGCTGCTGGGTCTCTACTTTTCAGCTTAGGGAAGCGCTTCAGGCCGCGGGGGCCTATGCTCTAAGGGTGATGTGTCACTGAACACTACATACCAGAAATCCTTGCGCGAAAATGATAAGGAATCCTAGCATTCATCATGCTTAACATACGTTCCAACCTTCTGGGGTTCACTATAGGACATGTCCGCCGCCGTCATCCTCTGTTTGGTTCTTAGTAGGGAATGCGGGAATGGTTTGTGGAGATTGTTATTGGGGGATTTTAAGGTTGACTACCATAACCCTAACCCCTAAACCAAAAATAGGGGCTACTTTAGGGATCTATTCCCCCATTCCCCACGAAGAACCAGACAGGGCGAGGGGAAAAGTGTAGGGGGTTCCTTTAGAAGGGTTCTGTAGGGGTTTACAGGATTCCTTTAAAAGGGTTCTACAGGGGTTTAGACGCTTCCTTTGAAGGGATCTATCAGGGCTTCTTCAAGGGATCCTATTAAGGATCAGAAGGGTTTAGGGCTTGAGAACCTCAGCTCAGTAACATCCGGAACTTGGAGGTTCATGGGTAGTTGTAAGTGGGGTTATAAGTCCCTTAATATGAGTTATAACTATAGTTATCCTACTTAAAACCCTACTTATAACTAACCATGAACCTCCAAGAACGAGGCACAGAAGAGAAGAGCCCGCAGTCCACAGCAAAACCGAACGCCAAGCGAAGCTGATGGATCACGTCCGGGAAATTCAAGATCTTGATATCCTCAAAGCTAAACCCAGGGCCAGACCCTACACCCTGGGCCCTAAACCCTGAAACCCTAAGCCCTAAAACCCTAAAACCCTAAAACCCTAAACCCTAAACCCTAAAACCCTAAAACCCCAAAACCCCAAAACCCTAAAACCCTAAAACCCCAAAACCCTAAAACCCTTTTCTGCATCCGGTCTGCAGCGCCTCTACCGGGTCCGCCCTCAAGCTTGTTCATGAGGAACGACTATTAGTTGAAACATATAAACCCTGAAACCCTAAGCCCTATACTCGAAGCCCAAACCCTGTGAACCTCGCAGTCGGTTTTCAAGCGCAGCACAGCTCAACACCCTCGCGCTCTGAGCTCAACACCTCGAGCCTGGGCACTTAAAAGTGGAGTTATAAGCCCCTTAATTGGGGTTATAAGTATAGCTCTCTTACTTATACCCCTACTTATAACTAACCATGAACCTCTTTGTGATCCCTAAACCAAACCGCTCAGCGCCAAACCCGACAAGCCTGCCTCCATGGGCCTTAGCAGCTGCGGCTCGCCGCCCCTGCAGTGAAGGAGCCTGTGTTAGGATTGGGAGTTTAGGGTTTAGGGTTTAGGGTTTAGGGGTTTAGGGTTTAGGGTTTAGGGTTTGGGAGTTTAGGGTCGGCACCTCTTGGACGATTTGGGATTTGGTGATGCCTGTGGGTGGTTGTCAAAATTATGCTCCCTTTTTGGTTCCCTAATTATATTACGTGCCGTAGTATAATAAGAACCCAGAAAGGGACCATAATTTTGACAAGTCCATGCTTTACTTAACGGCTTGCTTCCACCCTTCATGTTCGGTGTTCCTCTCTTCTTCCCTCCTTCATGTCGAATAGGTTACTGCTGCGATCCAAACCCTAAGCCTTTTGCATCCAGGACTCTTGCAATCAGCCGGGAAATTGCACAAGACAGCGCTTAAACCCTCCAGCAGCACTCGGAGCCCCAAACCCTAAACACTAAGGCCCTACCCTAACCCCACGGTAACCCTACATCTTTAAGGACTTATATAAAGAAATCATATGAGGGAACCCTAAAAGGTCGGTTCCTTAGGGTCCAGGTATACCCTTAAAAACATGTTCGCGATGCTGCGAAGCTTCTGTGGTCCCTGTGGCTTGCCTCGTGGTTTGGTGAGCTTCACTACAGGGTTTGCTAGACGGGCCACTATGAGGATTATGAGGCTATCTGGGTTGGCCTTTAAAAACACCCTGAAAAATATTTATATATAGGGTCCCTTATAAACCCAAATAAGGAAAAAAAAATCTCCCACAATCCTACCTAGCTATTACCTGTTCAGCCAAGGGCTTACGGTCGGGAGTTCAGTCCAGGCCGTAGAGCCCTGCTTGGAGGTTCATGGTTAGTTATAAGTAGGGTTATAAGTAGGATAGCTATAGTTATAACCCATATTACGGGACTTATAACCCCACTTATAGCTACCCATGAACCTCCAAGTGGGGATTTTCCCACTTGCTGGTGGCAGTGCTTTGATTTTGGATCGTCTCCGTGGTCTCCGGGAAATGTGAAGTTTTGCCGTCACGGTGGGCTTGTCGGACTGCCCTGACAAGGAAAAAACAATTAACCAAATCATGTGACCACAAATCCCTACGCCACTCACGCCGCAAGGTCCCCGACCTAAGCTCGCAAAATCTGCGGGCCCTAAGCCTTGTATGGGATAGTCCGAAACAGCCTTAGATCTGCAAAGTTTCAAGTTGATCGTCACGTCGGTGTTCGTTGTCCTTACCCCTGAATACTTCGAAGAAGCCTGCCGTACTTCCCAAATCCCTAAACCGGCATTGGGCGTAGGGCTTGGCACTGGAGAGTTCTGATTTTCAATTATTTACCAGCGGACCTCAACTCTTGCAACCCGGCCCAGCATAGGTCTGAGTATAATGACCTACTTGTGCTAGGCTTAGTCCTAAACCCTAAACACCTAAAGTTTACGTTTCATTGGGGGGTTTACGGTTTTGGCGCTCGCACTCGGACACTCGCATATGGGTGGTTGTCAAAATGATGGTCCCTTTGGGTCCCTGTTATAATACGGCATCTAAAATTTAGGGTGCCCAAAAAGGGACCTTAATCTTGTCAAGTACTGATAAACCCTAAACCGGAAAAGGAAACCTAGACTTATAAGCCCTAAACCGGAAAAGGAACCCTAAGCCCTGTTTCCGTTTAAGGGCTTAGGGTTAGGAGACCCAAAAAGCACATAAGCATAAGCATTTAATGGGGAGCTCCCTACCTTACTGGGCTCCATTAGGAGGGAGTTTATATAGGAGTTTCCGAAAATAGAGGACCCTAATATAGCACCCTGAATAGTAGGATCCTTGTTATAAGGACCCCAAAATAAGGTACCCCTAATTTCCGGAAACTCCCACATGGGATATCCCGATCCTCATTTTTGCCTATGTGCTTGTGGGAGCTCTTTTTGCGGCCTCGGAGGCTGCAGGGGAAGCGTGGGCACCACAAGTGCCGGGGCGGCGGCCGCAGGCGCGGCTGGGCCCTGCGAGCTCCATCGGCTGAAAATGAAAAGCTTAGTACAAGTTTATATATATATATATATATATTCATATGTAATTACACAGAGAAAGACAGAGAGAAAAAATGTGTATATACATACATATTACATATGTATATATATATATATATGTGCGTGGGACCTCTCTGCTCTATTTGAGTAACTGCTTCTTCCAATATGAGCACTTAAAGGGCAGGCTCTGTGGGCAGTGTGAGTTTGGTCTCTGGGGATCTGGAATTCTTTTTAACTTTTTGCAATTTTTAAAATTCTTGATTTTTTTTAATTTTGTAAATTTTGAAAGATTTGGCCTTTGGGGGTCTGGAATTCTTTTTAAATTTTTAAAACTTTTTGAAATTTTTAAAAATTTTTAACTATTTGGCCTTTGGGGGTCTGGAATTCTTTTTAAATTTTCAAAATTTTTTAAATGTTTGAAATTATGATGTTTTTAAAGATTTGGCCTTTGGGGGCCTGGAATTCTTTCTAAATTTTTAAAATCTTTAAAATTTTAAAAATGTTTGAAATTTTAATTTTTTTTAAAGATTTGGGGGTCTGGATTTTTTAAAATTTTTAAAATTTCTGAAATATTGAAAATTTTTTAAAATATTTTAAAAAAATCAAAATTTCAAAAATATTGAAAAATTTAGAAAATTTAAAAAGAATTCCAGAACCCCAAAGGCCAAATCTTTAAAAATTTTAAAAATGTTAAAAATTTTAAAATGTTCAACCATTTTGAAAAATTGAACAAAATCCAGACCCCCAAAGGCCAAATTTTAAAAATTTTGAAAATTGTAACAATTTTCAAAATTTAAAAAGAATTCCAGACCCCCAAAGGCCAAATCTTTAAAAGTTTTAAAAATTTCAAAGTTTTAAAAATTTAAAAAGAATTCCAGACCCCCAAAGGCCAAATCTTTAAAAATTAAAAAAAATTAAAAAAAATTAGAAATTTTAAAAAATCAAAAAGAATTCCAGAACCCCTAAGGCCAAATTTTTAAAAAATCTAAATTTCAAAAATTTTAAAAATTTAAAAAGAATTCCAGGCCCCCAAAGGCCAAATCTTTAAAAATTCTAAAAAAATTAAAATCTTTTAAAGTTTTAAAAATTTAAAAAGAATTCCAGACCCCCAAAGGCCAAATTTTGAAAAACTTTAAAAATTTTGAAAATTGTAACAATTTTCAATTTAAAAAGAATTCCAGACCCCCAAAGGCCAAACCTTTAAAAATTTCAAAAAAAATTTAAGTTTAAAAAGAATTCCAGACTCCCAAAGGCCGAATATTAAAACAATTTAATTTTTTTGATTATTCCGAAATGTAAACAGAATTCCAGACCCCCAAAAAGCAAAAATTTTGAAATCTTGAGAATTGGAAACGAGTTCCAGATCTCCAGAAAGCATGCGCTCGCTCTTTTGCATTCACCTCATTATCTTTTAACACATGAAACAACAGGGAAAGAAATCTGAGTGAAGGGTGAGATGAAGTGAATGATTTCGTTCCTGATTTTCAACGAACGAAGTGTCAGCGAGAAACAAGTGAACGAACGCATGAACGAAACACGGTCTCAACGAGTAACACACCAGGAATTGGACCGTTCACTACAAAAGCCCTGATTAAAATAAATAAGCATGCGCCAGTTTATCTTTCATTAGTGAAAATCTGGCTCTTTTGCGTCTCTCTTCATTCATAAACCTTAGAAGATACCACTATAGATTACCTATAAAGATACCATTAGATTCCAGTTTACTTCTAGCATTATAAACTTGTATAAGTGTAAGGTGGGAAGTGAAGGCAACCAAAAGACCCATGCTAAACTAACGAAACGAAGAGAAGGTAAGGATCGCACTTTTTCCTCTGTTTCAGTACATGAAAGTTTGATTCGTTTGTCTCGTTCACCTCGTGGTGCGTTTCACGATGAACAAAGCACGCTTTCTCTTATGCTACATTGTCTTCGTTCACTTTAAACTACACCACCTTTGATTACAGGAAAGCCAGTCAATGTAGGATGTGGAGCGAAGCGAACCCCCAAAGGACAAACTAGTGTAATGCAAGGAACAAAATGGTAAAGGATGCACGCCTTTTGCTTCGTTTCATTATGCTAGTTTGGGTCTTGTTGGTGTTTTCTTTCAACTTTTCCTTTGCAATGAAATGCACAACCCGAAAGAGCAAATGCAAACTAACACAACAAAAGGCGGGCTTACATTTCATTGCCATATTGTCGCATTAGGTTTAATTAAAGCTTGTGGGACCCATGCTTGGCAGTGAGCTTGGAAAAAAGATGTGTGGAGAAAGGAATGTTGGATGTACCTTGACTGGCGGTCAAACTCAGAGAATGATTCGCGAGTCCACGGTCAACCTTGTGCCGGATTTCATTCTTAACAAGGCCAAGCGAGATGATCAAAGCATACACTTCGTTTGTCTTTCTTCATTCGCCTCACTTTGTTATTCTCTTATCATGATAAAACGGAGTGAAGAATGAACGGAACCCAGAAGAGCCAGTTTAATTGAATTGCAAGTAAAACAGAGAAACGAAGGCATGGTTTAATTGATTTAAATCTAGATTTTGTGGCTCTTGTTTCATGTCGTGGTCTGTAATTATTAAACGAAGTGCAAGCCGTGCGTCTCTTACGCTTCATTAATTTCGTTTCATATTAAAGCACAAAAGAAAAACATGTATTTGATTCCTCAGTCTAATGATCTTCCCGGCTCTTCATTCTACTTATCTTTCCCTTTTCTGTTTTATGAGCTGGTAATGTAGTGAAAGAGGAGATTGGAAGCATGAAGCTCATCAAAGCCAAAGTAGAAAAGTGAAAATAATGAAGGTAAATAAGCAGAAATCAATGCTAGCATATTTTAGGCTTACATCCTTTTTCATTTCCTACAACTACGATTGTTGTTTCCGTTGTGTTCCTGTTTTCGTTCCTTTTTAGTTTGGCTCATTCACGCTTCCATTCCTTTCCACGGTACTGAGCCGAACAAGAAAGGAATGAAATAAGGAACAGAGTGAACGGTTAGACCAAGATATGACATGAAAGGGAGAGGAATAAGCGTACGGAACGCACGGTTCCTCTCAAACCCTTCATGTCATTTCTTGCGAGAACAGAATGACCAGGAAACTAATGATAGGGTTATATCACAGGGAATTGAAGATTTTAATGGTGCAAGACTTCTCTCATCTAACTCTATCTCCTCATGCAATTTCCTATCTCGTGATGTGTCCTTTGTTGAAACTTGGTGGGTTTTCTTGAACTAAAGCGAAAACAAATCAAATCAAGGAAATGCCTGCTTTGCCAGCACCATGCATACAAGGGCTTCATCTGGATCATTCTTCTGTGTCATGAGTCGTGCATGTATGATGTTTAGTTTTAATAAGCGAAAAGCATGCGTCCCTTCTGTCACTCATCCATGCACACCATTCACTTCTCATCGTTCAGTCATCATCGGTTAACCCTTGATTTGTGGTTCGCCAGGGACAATAGGTTCATGAATCCCAGTTCTTCTATAACAGGATTCTGATGGCACATCCATATCGGCTCATTTTGTCGTTTCCTTTGTGCTTCGCTTAATAGACATAAACCATACATCGAATCAGTTCCTTCTTTATGTTTGTTTAAAGTAAACAAAGCAATGATGAACGAAACCGTGAGATCGCCTGCTTACAGCATGAACGGGATATCGGTGGGTCTTGTTGTTGGGTTTAATTGTGGTGTGTCTTGTTCGGTGAAACAACGGATGAAAACGTGTGCCGCATTCAGTTGAAATACAGCACGCTTTCGCTCCGCTTCATTGGCTATGTTTCATTTAAGCAGGCACACCGTTCCTTCTTACTGTTCCACCTTCCACACGTTACCTTGGCTTTGTGGGAATGAAGAACACATTTTGTTCAATGAAAAAGACCGCGGTCCTTCTGTCACCTACCTGTTCCTTAATTGGAACAATTGAAACCAAGATTGCCTCTTCATGGACAGAAAATTTCGGTTGGTTGACTTGGGCTTTGATTGTAGGACACAAAACGTCAGACACCTTGGAAATTAATGACTTGGTTTCTGGATCCGTTCGTATTGTGTTGTATCTTTTTGAATCAACAGAACATGCATTCGTTATTCGCTTATCTTTGCTGCAGTAAAATGAGACACACAGCACTCTCTTATCTTGTGGGTTCCTTGTTTCCTTCATAAAGAGCCCGATTTAATGTGAATAAAAGGTAAGGAAACGCGCTTTTCTTCCTGTTATATCTAGCTCCTTTAATTCACTTCACATGTTTAGAGATTACATAGAACAGCCACGTGACATGATCCTACAAGAGAAAAGTTGTCAGAAGATTCGATGTCATATTGCCATTAGAAGACCCCTTTTAAAGAGAGATCTAAGCCTACAATATAAGTCTCCAGAATGTGTGGTGCGTGAAATGAAGAGAGCAACAAACACGCTCTCATTTCATTCCGTTCCACAATCACCACATCTCCAAGACGAAAAAGACTATAGATAGACAAATAATTGTCGGCAAAGGGTGATGTCTTTCCTATTTCGTTTGTTTGTTGGTCCTAATCGCGCATACTTTCGTTTTTCACTTCTTTGCATTAACTAAAACAAAGTAAACAAAAGACAGACCTCATTAACTTTACTTGGACTTGTGGCACGGCTGGAACTCTGATGGTGGATCGGTGGTTCGTTTTCTTGGTCACTATTTCGTTCATCACAAAGCCCCGTGTATTTACAATCAAAGCATGCTTTCATTCGGTTTCCTTATCTTAAACTAAAAATGAATTAATTCTTTGATTGTCTTCATAGTTTTATATTCTAACCGCCAGGAAGCCAACGGAAAGTGAACTAGCTCCTGGTGTGATTCGTGCCTGGCTGTGAGTTGTGGGCGGTGGCGTGGTGAATTTAAATAAAGGAATCATGCTCCGTTCCTTTCGCTTTGCTCTCTACACTACATTCTATTATCTTCTTTTCACTACAGGCAACGCCCACCAATCAAGCTGCCTGACTAAGGCCGTATCCATTCAATCGATTAGGGGCTTATTCTACCTGTACATCTATCGCAGAAACTTTTCAGCTAAGATGTATGTTGTGGCCTGTGGCCACCACTCTAGATTGCGGCAAGGCGCTCATGTCGGGTTTACACGAAGCCAAACACTATGTCACTCCATGTTGCAGCGGCATGTCAAACTGCCGAAGCCTTACCCATTCGGTCGACCAAAGGCTGACTCAAACTATACATAAAGGTCCATGGTACATATATATATATATATATATGTGTGTGTATGTCTGCAATGTAAATATATATGTACAAAAAAACTATCTATCTACCTATCTATCTATAGAGAGAGATACAAATAGTTACATGTATATATACACATATCAAACAATAACAGACATATAAACAAATAAAAACAACAACAAGCATGTTAAAACATTAAAAACACATAAACGTGTGTATATACATCTATGTACATACACACATACCCATACATCTTTATATATATATATATATATATACATACATAAACATATATATATATATATATGTGTGTGTGTGTGTTACAAATGGATATGCATTGAGGGTTGAGGGTTCAAGGCTTAAGGTTTCGAGTTCGGATGTTAGTTGGATTTCTGGTAAAAGGGTGACTTGTGGCTAACATCCGGGCCCCTGAATAATCGAGCTAGGTATGTGGGGAAGATAGATGGATTACCAGCGCACCCGACAGAACAGGATACTGGATCTTCGGCATGAGACCCTGAATCGGGGGACCCTAATATAGTACCTTAAATAGAAGGACCCTTATTACAAGGACCGCAAAGTAAGGTACTTTTGGGAAACTCCCATTTAGCACCTGAAGAGCTCTTTGCCTTCTTGCGCACTGAATGAGGAGATGATGAGAGTGACGAATCTATTCATGATGAGAAAGGGTACCAATACTATAGAGTCCTATAGAACCTCCTGAATAGGGACAATGCAGGGGCCTGAATGATTAGCATAGGGTTTTGGGTTCCTTCATAGTATAAATATAACAAGCAACCCTGAGGAATAATCGGGCACTTATTTCGGCTTCTAAAACAAGGGCTACTCTGAAACCAGGCCCTCTGAACTCGGATCAGAACCCCGTTATTACTATTTTGGAGGATACTTTCGGCACTACTACAGGGATCCATTTCCCCATTCCCTACCAAGCACAAGACAGAACACAGATCAGAACCGATCCTGGCCCAGAAGGGCTTGGATCTGCAACGCAACGTTCGTGGGAAGCCCACCGCCAGGCGCCCCGTAACCTGCCAGGTCTGGGATGAGGTCCGCAGAGAGCTCGATACCCCTTACCGTAATTCGGGAAGATACCTTAAATTGCAGTACGAGAGCCCAATACCCCTTAATTACGGAATATACCTTAAAATATAAGGGGCTCATACTCTGATTTAAGCTGTATTCCCTAACTAAGGGCGAGCTGATAGACGCGAAACCCTAATCAAGTCACGTTCGATTGGGAAACCCCAAGACCCGCAGAGCCGTGGCTGTTGAAACTTCGAACCTTCCTTCACGAGGACTGTTCCGTTCGGGTTCAGGGTCTCGTGCCACGGCAATCTCTTGGAAGGATCCTATCTCTTATTTCTCCTAAACCCTAAACCCGCATCAGCCTCTCTTATTTCCGGAAGCTCCCGAGAGACTCGAAGAAGGTGGTCTGAAAACTTGCGGAGTTGCCTCTTACAGCTATAGTGAGGTACTATAGCCTCCCAGACCCAGTATCTCCTCAGCTCGGCCCATGAATACCCAGAGAGCCCAATACCCCTTTATTAAGGAATATATCTTAAATTATAAAGGGAGTCATAGTATGATTTAAGCTATACCCCTTAATTAAGGAGTATATCTTACATTATAAAGGGAGTCGTACTATGATTTAAGCTATATGCCTTAATTAAGGGGTATCGCGCCCGGAGGAAACAGATTCCAAACCAGGACAGCCTGAAGTCCGTTTCTTAGGGAGTACCTCAGACCAAAAGAAGTTAAGCTTTTGAAGTATGGCAGGATTTAGGGTTTAGGGTTTAGGGTTTAGGATTTAGGGTTTAGGGCTTAGGGTTTAGGGTTTAGGGTGGATTATATAAGCCCCAAAAGCTTAAAGGTTACCTACTCAGCTACTAAGGTTTAAGTTTCCCAGTAGCCGCTTCACAATAAGGGACACGACTTCAATACAGGTAGGAAGGGTGCCCTTTGACGTATATACTGTGTGTGTTTTTTTCTGGCGGAACCCGACAAGAAAAAGGGCAAAAGGGCACTACTGCGGAACCTAGCCATTAACGGGAATCCCTAGAGGAACTCTTACAGGGATCCCTTTAAAGGAACCCTTAGCGGATCCCTTAGGGGATACCGGACAGTCTGGCCGCGCACGCATACAGACATCACAGCGTTGTGCTTTACTTCAGCCCAAAGTCTTCAACACCAACACCGAGCTAAGGTTTGGGGGTTTAAGGTTTAGGGTTTAGGGATTAGGGATGAGGGTTTAGGGTTTAGGGATCAGGGATGGGGATTTAGGGGTTAGGTTTTAGGGTTTGGTTTAGGGTTAGGTCCATTCGCCTTTGCTCGCCGCCGATGCGTTGACGGTAGAGGCCTCGAGAGTGTTTGCAAACCATATCGTTCCTCTATGCCATATGCTTATTGTTGCTCCGCTCCGTGCTAATTACTGCCGGTCTTGTTCCTAGTCTTGTTGTTTTGTTACTTATTGCAGCTGCTGCTGTTGCTCGTCGAATCCGAGCACTCGTACACGGGCAAGTGCGCACGTGAACATGTGCAGTTCTGTCCGCAAACACATGCGCTTACTACATTCTGCGTCCTCGCATATGTTTCATGCATGTCTATTTGTTGTACGTAGGCCTGTATACTACCAAGCCGCTATACATGTCTGTTTTCAAGCGTCTTAAGGTGTGGGTTTTGGTAACCCTACCGTTGCACCCTCAAGGTTACCAGGGTGGGGGCTGGCCACTCAAAGAACACAGGGTTTAAGGCTCTCAGGGTTCGAATTTAGGAAACGGCTTCCAGGGACCGGGACTTAGAGGTGCCCCCATGTTGTCACAGCGGCCTAGGGGTGTTGCAGCGTTCTCCCTTCCATCTATGGAGGTCCGAGGTCCTAGCAACTAAGTTCCGAAAATGGGGGGCCCCGAAATAGTAGGATCCTTATTATAAGGGCCCCAAAATAAGGTACCCCGAATTTTCTGAAACTCCCGAGTGTCACTGCACTAACAAAAAGTTTTTCGCCAGGGCATTCATACGAGCTTGTCTTCAACGGAGGTTCAGTGTTTAGGGTTTAGGGTTTAGGGTTTAGGGTTTTGGGGTTTAGGGTTTAGGGTTTAGGGTTTTAGGGCTTAGGGTTTAGGGTTTTATGGTTTAGGGTTTAGGCTTAGGGTTTAGGGTTGAGGGTTTAGGGATCTGCGGGCTGGAGGTTTTGGGCGCATTCTGAAAGTCGGGGAAGTTTCCTTCAGGCTCACCCTGGCCTCGGCGTCCAATCTGGTCGTTATCTCTTTTGAAATCCCAGAATACTTGGAGGGTCGCGGGACTTAGTAGGTAGCAAGACTTATAAGTACCCTAGAAGGGACCCTAACTGGGGTTATGGTACTTCTAAGTCCTTAAAATAACCACCTGGAAAGCCTGGTGTACCTTAAAAATGCGCAACTGGTCACTGTGACTTGTTTTTTAGCCACTGACCGAAAGTGTCAGCAAAATGGTTTCTATGTTTAGGCATGTTATACCTGAACCCGTATATACATAGAGACTTTGCAAGAGAATCCCGACATAAAGCATTCTAAGCAGCCTTTGCTTGAAAGAACGCGATGTAAACTTATGAAGCTTTAAGGTTGGAGGTTTAGCTTAGTATCCAACCCCGATACAACTTCCCGCCCTCGGGCACCTGGGATCCTGGGCATCAGCATGCAGTATGACGGACATCTTTCACTTCTTTTCAGAGTAAGATTGAAACAAAATCATTGAAATGCTTTCTCATGCACCGTTCTGACCGGTGGGTTTCCGGCTTGCCACTCGCTCGATAAATTATCCATCTATTCTCAAAGCGTCCGCGCATCCAACCTCACAGCACTTTGTTCTGAAGCTGGCCGCATACCGTTGACGAATGAAGTTTCGGTTGTATTTCACTTCGAGGCTTCATTTAGTGCTCGCATGAAGAGAAGCCGCTTATGGGCCAGGTTGAATGCATCCACTGTTTCAACCCAATCAGGGAAAAAGCTGCTTGTAGATGGAGCTCATGAGTATCTCGGTTCCAACAAAACCTCGTAGATGGTTTGTAGAAGAGCTTGGTCTTTCTGTACAACCGGCCGATGCTCGACAGAACAAAGACCGCAGAGAACAGTTTGGGCTGCAGGTTTGTGTCTGAGCTGTTGAACCACCACCTCATCATGAGAGCACCAATCTGCCATAATCCTGTATAGATCGGTTCGTGTGATAGGCAACTGAAGTGCGCAAAAACACGTTCCTCAACAAATCCTGAAACGAAAAACAGCTCCCAACTGGGAAATCGGCCCTCGTGTCCAGAAACCCAGCACAGGATCCATCAAGTTTGTCATATGCGCCCTTCTCACCCGCAAAGGCATGTCTTTCGGTGTGAAATGGAGAAACCGAGAGATTTTCGTGAGGATTTCTGCATAAATTTGTGCAGAAACTGAGCGGTCAAAGTGACGGAAACATAGCTACGATCCGTACGCTTTTGTACGCCACTTTTCGCCATATGTACGCCGCTGTACGTTTTTCTCGTCACTGTGTATCCTTTTTTGTGTTTGGCGTAAAAGGTGGTGTGCGAGACCCCAAAGACCAAAAACACTTCTGACAGAATAGAATTTAAGACAAATATGTGTAGTTTAGGTTGGCGACCAACCGGCAAAGGCATTATCAGGTCTTCGCAAGCCGCTGCCGATGTTGAACAAAACTCCAAATGACGACTCAATTTGAGTTTCGGGGACGGGTTGCGAAAGTGCCGCATCTCTACAGAGGAACTAAAAGTCTGCATAAGGGCGGCTTAACTAGATAGGATTTAATCTGCCTGGGATCCATAAGGGGAGCTTTTTCCAACAGGGGAGGCAAAGGTTGCCGTTCAATAAGGTTGGCCTAGGCACATGGGCGGCGCAAGTTGGCATCCTCAGGTCGACTTAGCTACATACGCGTAAAGGCCGAGTTTCAACAACTGGCCTAGCTGCATCGGAGGCAATACCCATGTCGGTGGCTTTGCTATGTAGGGGGCAATACCCAATAGGGTGACTCAGCTGCATACTCAGCTGCATAAAGGCCAGGTGGCCGGTAGATTAGCCAATATACGTACTTAGCAACCTAACATCTGGGTTCCATGCAGTAGCTAATGAAGGAAATGTTGGGCTCCACAAAGTTCACCTAGCTACACACGAGTCCGATGCCTTCCCCACGAACGAAAAACTAAGACTCGGGCCTTTACCCTGCTAGCGCCTTTCTATAGAAACCATGAGAAGGCCCTTCTCAGTCTTTGGGAAGTCTGGGTTCCAAAAGGGCTACATACGAGGCAAAGGTCTGGCTCCAGTATGGCTCCAGGACTGCTCCAGACACGCGTTATAGTGTGACATATGTTGGCTTCAGCTTACGTGTAGATTTTTAAAACTTAAGCCAGTAAACACGGTTTTGGGTAGCCGTTTCGCTTCTGAGAGGTTATAGCGTATATCTGATATATGATGTAGGTCGGCTCTACATGAAATACATGAAGCAGATAATGCTACACTTTGCCAAAGTGATGTTTATTTACGGCAACTGTTGGAAGTGTATACAAATAGCAGTGAAAAAATCACCGTGACAGTTTCTAGTGCCACTTTCAAAAGTTTAGCTTCATTAAGGTACACTGAGGCGTTCCAGGCAGTTACTAACCCAAGTACTCTATGAAAGCCACGCGAGGGCGGACAAAGACCACTGCGAAGCAAGAGCCCGGCAGTTGCAGGTGTTCCTCCCTTCTCCCTAAACCCTAGACCCTAACCCCTACCCCCTAGACCCTAACCCCTAATCCCTAAACCCTTTTTGCAGCAGGCCTCGTTGTCCAGCAGCCCGGTTACAGCAAGAGCCCCCCTCTATCCCTAAACCCTAAACCCTAAAATGCAAATGAAACCAAGTGTTTGTGCTTAGTAGAATACAGAGAAGACAGAGGGCTTTCCTATGAAAACAGAGGGAAACAGAAGTTTTCCTAGGCAAACAGAGGGAAAAGAGATGTTTTGCGGTGGAAATGCAGAGAAACCCAGGGAATAGAGTTGTTAAGCAACAAGTAAAAGAACAAAAACAACAGAAAGCAAAAGCAACAATCACAACAACGCAACAAGCAAAGAAAGCAGCAAGCGGCAGAAAGCGGAGCGCAAAGCAAACGCATGGAGAACGACCACCTTTAACCGAGGCCCCCAAAGGAAAAATAAAAAAAGCAAAGAAAAAGAAAAAGGTCAAGAAAAATAGGGTCCCCCTCCCACGGCTTACGGTTTAGGGTTTAGGGTTTTTTCTTGAGCTTACGGTTTAGGGTTTAGGGTTTAGGATTTAGGGCATATAATCACAAGAATAGCAAGCATGAACAATGACAGAACTAAGAATACTCGCATCCTTTTCTCACAAGAGGTTGCAGAGTTGGACAGCTCGCACTACTCGCCCCGACAAGGATGCCGGAGAGGGTCCTGCAACCGAGCTGCATGGTTCGAGAGAAGGCCTAGGGTTTCGTCGGGGTTGTGCAAAAGGGTTTAGGGTGCACGGGTTCTCTGGGCTTGTGAGTAACCACGGGAAAAAGGTATAAACTTTTATTTCATAAGGGTTCCTTTAAGAAAAAATGTGTTAGAGTATGGTACACCGAAGCCCAGTTCTGGATTCGGCTTTTAAAGCCTCAAAGAGCTTCTGGAATGGTTGAACACTTGCGGTTAGAGATTGCGGCAGTCAGTTTTTTGCGCGTTCTGCGCTTTTTGAGGACCCAGGATATGGTTCTTGTGGCTGAAACTGACTGAACAAGGCTTTCTGGGCTTAGGGGCGCTCCAGATTCTCTGCGGCTTCAAGAGCAGAGACTGCTTGGTTTGAGGTGTGGTTCGGTGCTTGCATGGTGACAACCGCTGAAACCACTTGTGAAGTTATGAAGGCCAATACCATGTGTTCTGCGTGAGGGTGCTAGAACACTTGTGAAGTTTATGAAGCCCAATACCATGTGTTCCGCATGACGGTGCTAGAGCAGGCTACAGGCTTCTTTGCACCAAACCCCGGATCCCTAAACCGAAATCTGTGGATGATGGCGAAGGCATTCTGAACCAATTCCCTTATCCCCAGAAACTGGGCCTGGGTGTGCCGGCAGCTTCTGTTCCCGGAGCATGTCCAGAGCCTCCAGCATGGCATAGTGGACCGCCTCCTTTGCAAAACCCCTTCGACCCTAAACCCTTTTGGCAGCTGCGCTCTGAGCGTCTGCCAACATATCCGCTCACGCTCTACGCCCCTAAACCCTACATAAAGCCTCCACAACACAAAACATTTTGCCCATCTGAATGCGTATGCATGTCTACCCGGCAACTACGACGACAACGACGACGACAGGAAAACGAACAGAAACAGCTGAGATGGCCTTGCCATTGGTGA